AAAGCAGTGCTACAAAGCCTTAGTAAAAATCGGGCAGAAAATCTTGCGATAGTCGCTGACATCAAGAGAGCCGTGAGAGTACTAACCAATCAAGGAAGAGTCGTCCAATTTTTATGGATCCCCTCCCATGTTGGGATCTGTGGAAATGAATGAGCAGATGTGCTGGCTGCTGAAGGCGCTGAAGGACACCATATTGAATACTTCATACCCAAGACTCCTCTACAAAGCAACATCACTGTGACAAGGTTGCTGAGGAAAGGAGGATAGAAGCACAAATCAGTGAATCTGTACGATGGTACAACATGGTTGCAGCTGGCAATCCCAATCATTATGGCCGAAGAGGAGGTGGCCGCGGGAGAGAATCAGTAATAGCAAGAATCCGTCTTAGATACAAATATCCATGGAGATTCCGAATGGAAACAACAGTTGAGCAGCGAAGTTGCAGAGTCTGTTATGAGAGTGTCGGACACCGCCTTGACCACTACCTGAGAGTTTGTGGACATCTAAGGGTCATTAGAAATATGTGTAGAATAATAAACCCCACATTGTTTGAGTTAGGAAAATACTATTTGTCAAATATAGATATTGTTCTTACAAGATTCCCCCATTTTGCACCCGCAAGATAACGTAAGATTTTAAGGGTTGACAAATGTTAATCTTCTTGTTTGAGAAGCTGTTCACTTGAGACAGTTAAGCAAGTCCCAGCTGTGTCTGGGTACAAGTGACAGGATGAACAATCCAGCGGATTTTCTTCCTGTTGGGGAGTGTCGTACATGTTGCTATGGCGGTATGTTCACTCACAGGATGTGTGGCGCTGCCCAATACTGTCACTATGACGGTGTGTCCACTCACAGGATGAGTGCCCCTGCCCAATACTGTCACTATGGCGGTGTGTCCACTCACAGGATGAGTGGCGCTGCCCAATACTGTCACTATGGCGGTGTGTCCACTCACAGGATGAGTGCCCCTGCCCAATACTGTCACTATAGCGGTGTGTCCACTCACAGGACGAGTGGCCCTGCCCAATACTGTCACCATGGCGGTGTGTCCACTCACAGGATGAGTGGCGCTGCCCAATACTGTCACTATGGCGGTGTGTCCACTCACAGGATGAGTGCCCCTGCCCAATACTGTCACTATAGCGGTGTGTCCACTCACAGGACGAGTGGCCCTGCCCAATACTGTCACTATGGCGGTGTGTCCACTCACAGGACGAGTGGCCCTGCCCAATACTGTCACTATGGCGGTGTGTCCACTCACAGGACGAGTGGCCCTGCCCAATACTGTCACTATGGCGGTGTGTCCACTCACAGGACGAGTGGCCCTGCCCAATACTGTCACTATGGCGGTGTGTCCACTCACAGGACGAGTGGCCCTGCCCAATACTGTCACTATGGCGGTGTGTCCACTCACAGGACGAGTGCCCCTGCCCAATACTGTCACTATGGCGGTGTGTCCACTCACAGGATGAGTGACGCTGCCCAATACTGTCACTATACCGGTGTGTCCACTCACAGGACGAGTGCCCCTGCCCAATACTGTCACTATGGCGGTGTATCCACTCACAGGATGAGTGACGCCGCCCAATACTGTCACTATACCGGTGTGTCCACTCACAGGACGAGTGCCCCTGCCCAATACTGTCACTATGGCGGTATGTCCACTCACAGGACGAGTGCCCCTGCCCAATACTGTCACTATGGCGGTGTGTCCACTCACAGGATGAGTGACGCCGCCCAATACTGTCACTATACCGGTGTGTCCACTCACAGGACGAGTGCCCCTGCCCAATAAACTCATCCCTCGAGGCAAAATTAAAAATTCAATTAATTAGCAAGTGATAACCTGCGACCAGTCTCTTCCTTCTCAAAAGGGATGAGAGGAGGCAACTGGAATGAGGGAGAGAGGTGGGAAGGAAGGTGTATAGATGGAAGGGAAAGAGGAAGGGGGGGGGAAGGATGTAGGAGAAGGGAGACTTAGTTACCACACAACTCTTGGCTGAGGACAATGATGGCATCACACATGGGATACGTACACGACTCTAATACTTGCTAAAGGTCCGGGAGGAAACCATTCCCCTCCGGCAAACGACCCCACATAGAGTCCGTGTAATCGTTTACCCATTTGCAACATTTACTGCCGAACGTTCCAGTCGTGTCGGAAGGGGAACGACGTTGTCTCCCGGAGAGTGAACGATACAAAATGAAGAGTTTAGGATTATCCCCCCAGACAATCTGGCAACGAGCGCAGAGGAACATGTGAGGGGGGGCGGGGGTCCGGGGGAAGGGGGGGGCGACGAGGGATCTGGGAGGGGGCGGGAAAGGGGGGAGGGGGTAAGGAAGGAAAAGAGAGAGAGAGAGAGGTTATTTCTCTTCCAAACTCTTTTGGTATTGATACCGGCTATGTATTGACAGTGTAAGAAAGGCATCTTCCGCCTGAAACATTTGTATTATAGTCTTTCCTGCTCTCTCTCTCTCTCTCTCTCTCTCTCTCTCTCTCTCTGTCTCTGTCTCTCTCTCTGTCTCTCTCTCTCTCTCTCTCTCTCTCTCTCTCTCTCTCTCTCTCTCTCTCTCTCTCTCTCTCTGTCTCTCTCTCTGTCTCTCTCTCTCTCTCTCTCTCTCTCTCTCTCTCTCTCTCTCTCTCTCTCTCTCTCTCTCTCTCTCTCTCTCTCTCTCTCTCCTCTCCGCCTCGTCCGCATTACTTTCCCTAAAAAAAATGGACGTTCGAAAAATATCAGCAGCTCCCACGCACCTCTTACAGGGATGGTGGCAGAGATAGTGAAGGGATGGTGGCAGGGATAGTGAAGGGATGGTGGCAGGGATAGTGAAGGGATGGTGGCAGGGATAGTGAAGGGATAGTGGCAGCCACTCGTCACCTTTAGGGAATCAACCAATTCGTTAAAATACGACATTAAGAAAAAATTAAGTCCCGAAATGATCGTTTTCTATGCCTCGGCCTTGAAAGAATAAGTTGCTTCTGTTCGTATACTGTTGTGGTTAGGGAAATCAGTTGCATTTTTTGACGGAGCGGCAAATCGAGCGCCCGTGCTGTTTGTTCACACATTCTCCATGTCAGGTAACATGGTTGGCCGTACACGGTGAACTGCCAGAGACACACTCAGGTGAGGTCCGTTGAACTCTAGGTGTCAAAGCATCAGAGAAATAGAGAAAAACGAAGATTTCAGGGGACACTTAAAAGAAAACCCCCATGTTGCCACATACTTAGTGTGTGTGTGTGTGTGTGTGTGTGTGTGTGTGTGTGTGTGTGTGTGTGTGTGTACTCACCTAGTTGTGTTTGCGGGGGTTGAGCTCTGGCTCTTTGGTCCCGCCTCTCAACCGTCAATCAACAGGTGTACAGATTCCTGAGCCTATTGGGCTCTATCATATCTACACTTGAAACTGTGTATGGAGTCAGCCTCCACCACATCACTTCCTAATGCATTCCATTTGTCAACCACTCTGACACTAAAAAAAGTTCTTTCTAATATCTCTGTGGCTCATTTGGGCACTCAGTTTCCACCTGTGTCCCCTAGTGCGTGTTCCCCTTGTGTTAAATAGAGTCTTTATCTACCTTTATATGTGTGTGTGTGTGTGTGTCTGTGTAGTGTGAGTGTATGCGTGCTTGCACGAGTATTTAATGTTCACATATCACGGTGTGTTGATAAGCATCTCCAGCATCCATCTCCAATATTGGAATTCCTCCCAGATGCCAATATTTCATCCCAGTAATCTACATCCCCATAAAGGCCAACAACAAATATTATAACCCAACACTCTACTGGCCAACTTACTCGTCGCCGGTCTTATCTGAACTCTTCCCGGCCGTAAATTCTGCAAATAATTCAACAATTTTCGATTCACTTGATATATAAATCAATGCCAGAGGAAATCAGCTGATATTTCAAGTTTCAACTGCGTAATTAGAAACAGATGAGATACTTCAAGTTGGCGTTGGAGGCGTACCTTGTATGACGGACGGGTAGTGCCAGGCCAAGCAACAGCCTGGTGGACCAAACTCTCACAAGTCAAGCCTGGCCTCGGGCCGAGACCAAACTCTCACAAGTCAAGCCTGGCCTCGGGCCGAGACCAAACTCTCACAAGTCAAGCCTGGCCTCGGGCCGAGACCAAACTCTCACAAGTCAAGCCTGGCCTCGGGCCGGGCTTGGGGAGTAGAAGAACTCCCAGAACCCCATCAACCAGGTATCAACCAGGTATCACTGTATAACGACCTTGCACAATGGATGCGTAATAGCACAACCAGTCGTCGGTCCAGGCTCGTTAAAGCTGCGGCTGTCCCGTCCCTAAACCCCCCCCCCCCAATCATCACCTAGAAGCATTTATCAATTTTACCATAAAATTAAAAATAAGTTTATTCTCATATATAAATTAATATTATTATATATTAAAGTTCAATATATGGTTAGGTTAGGCATTTTGGTTCTATCGGCGATAACTTTTATATATACTTCGTGGGTGAAGCCTTCTGTTGGGATTCGAACAGAGGACGTCGGCGAAGCACTGTCGAGAAATGTTTGAACGCCATCACTTGTGACTCGTGTGTAAATCGTTTGTCATTTAATAAACAGGGGGGGGGTGGTTTGGCGGCTGGATTAACGAGCTTATGGACTTTGTTGATGATGACAGACTGTAATAGCATTACGGGATGAATGAAGCATTTACAGAGGTTCGATTAGAGCACAGGACGTCAGCGAAGCACTGATCAAGAAATGTTCGAACGTCGTCAGTTGTGAGTCGTGCATAAAGTATTTATCAGCCATAAACGTGGGGTTTAGTGCCTGGATTGTCACCTGTTTGGCCTCTGGTTATATGGCTAGGCTGTGTTTATGAGAATGGAATGTGTTTATGAGGACAGGCTGAAAGAAAATAATGTTCGGGGTTCCGAGACGTGTTCGAGTGAGGTCGGAGCGGTATTCGAGAGAGCAGATAGAGTAGTGAGGGGTGACGGGGGTGGGGGGGCGTGGGGAGGGGGATTAAGGCAATGGTAGAGGGTGGGGGAGGTGTAGAGACAGGTGTGGAGCTAGCAACAGGCACAGTTACCTCCTGCATCTTCTCCAGTCTTACGGTAATCGTTAGCGTCTTGGTGGTACTTGTGTTAGTTAATTTGGTTTTGAATAACTGTTTGTCGAGTACTTTATCATAGTGATAATAAAAAGGGATTTTGCTGCTGTTCTGATGCTACTTAACTTTAACTTGAATTAGATGTAAAGGGAGGTAATAGTTACGGTATGTCTTTACCCAGTGGTTATCATAATGGTATAAACCTTAAGTTGATGTGAATTAATGTCTAGGCTGAAACTTTATTTCTAAACAATTTAAAAAAAAAAAAAAAAAAAAAAAACCCCGGGGTATAAATTTATAAGATCCGGGTATAGACGGGTTTTCTTTTTCTAATGTGTAGTTTGCAGTATGGGAAAAAATTCTGAGATGTTATTAGGACCACCTTCAACTAACCTAGGACTGATCACGCATAGTCCTTTGCTGGACGAGGCTGACTACTAGTAAACTTCACCCGCATTCGAACACAAAATTTCGTGTACACCTGGAAAAACTTTAGTGTATTAATACTTCTACTTAAAAATTTGAATTGATGGGTTTTTACTTGCATACAACGGGCTTGCTACCAGACCCTCCAGTTACAACGGCGGGAACTGAATATCTCTTGCTAGTTTTACTAGGCTTCGCACCTTAAGACCTTCTTGAGGCTTGCTAGGGATTCACCCCTCCCCTGCCCACTAGAACTGCCCCCTCTAATTTAACTTTGTCTATACCTGCAGGTATAAAGATGAAAGGTATACAAATTGCCCTCTTCTATGTAGCCTTGGCCTTTCCTCCTGGCCGGGTTAACGCTACGACATATCGACTCGATGACCTTCAAAAGCTACATTTGGCTGAAGGCAATGTTCCAAAGTCGGTGAACTTTACTATTAAAAAAACGGCTCCGTCTGGAATGGTTAAAACTGAAGTGTATGGGACGGCTACTGGTCTCTTCCTTAAAGACCTTCTCTTTGAGCACATTGAAACTACACTGCAAATGTCTCTTAACGTCTCGGTAATGCCTAATCCTCCTGAAATTCCAGAATGGTTAGAGAAAGAATACTTAATGGTAGAGAAAGTGTTTCAAAAGTTTTTAACCGCCGGTAAAGAATATTACTCTCTATTAAATCCAAACTGGGTGGCCGATACCGAGGCGAGATGGCCACAATTAAAACGGGTGGTAAAAGAGGTTGGAACTCTGATAGAACAGCCAACATTTCAGAACTTTAGGGCGACACTGCTCGCCGCCAGAGCCCTCGTGAAAGCCATAAACCGGAAGGGTAAGAGGTTGTATCTAGATATGGATGTAGACTATAATCCAATATACAAGTTTCAGATCTTTGGAAGTCTAGAACACTTTAAGTTGGCTCTAGATGAACTTGACTCTGCTATGGATGATTTCTTCTCTCCTAATTACCTGGCACGTATGAAACTAGACAAGATCTCAGATCTTACGACAAAACTGATGAATGCTTTAATGAAAAGATACTCTTCAATAAAACCCACAGGTGCTTGTAGTACAATCACGCAAGAAATAGATAAAATGCACACAATTATCTTAAATCTTGACTACAATGACTTGCGTTCCCGAAGAGACCACTTAATCTCGCTAAGTGCAAGACTAAATAGGGGACTACAATTGGTTGTTGAAGCTCTAAGTCACGATTCTGAGGCTGTGATCGCTTACCTCGACTACGCTACGGCGTCCTTGTTGATGGCTACTTGCGACCACTTGAAGACCTTAACTAGAACTCTATTACAACCATTACAAGACCTGAAGGAAATAATGCTGGTGCTTAAACATGCAGAAATGGAGAGCGGGAATCCCGTTAACGTAGAAAGGTTTGATCCAATCTTCCTTGAAGAAAGTATTGACATGTTAAAGTCGAATAAACCCATTGACCTTCGAATTGCTGTTAAGGTAATGGGCACAGCATTTACAGAAGCTGCCTACAGACTTTTCGAGGCGTTTACACTCCACCTACGCAGACTTCAAGAAAGACTAACAAAAAATTCTACAAATTTAAAAGATTCAAATGTTGAAATCGCGGATACTATACCAAGTTCTTTTACTGAACTAAAAGATGGAGATTCAAAGATCGAGGAAACTGTACCAGAAATTCAGACGGTTCCCTGTAACTGTGGCGTCTCGCAGCCGTTGTTGCGTCCTAATATGGTGCTACCGATCTTTGTCCTTCTGGAGAAAGAAGACGGAGAGAACATGCCTACAGATGGCCCAGATCCTCTCCGTAGTCAAAATATTAAAGAAGCTATACCGAAAATATGGGAAATGGTAAAGGGCTTTCAACCTGACAGTATACTTGAAGAATTTGAAACTCTAGGCGCACAAGTAATGGAAGTGTCTGCAGTGTACTTAAAAGAAGTATACGACACGGGTCTCGTAAGAGTCATCGTCGTACTAGGAAAGACTAACTGGAGAGAGACCGGTGGCGACCAGCACGAGGTACCTCGCGTCAAATCAGGCGAGTCCACTCTACACACTATGGGGGAGGGAACAACGTAGACTGAAATATAACCTAATGTTGCTTACTTCCAAAACTTTGCTTTTATCTTTATTTTTAAATGTCTAACTTCATTACAGAATCTGCACCTGCTGGACTACCAGAGACACCCCTAAGTATTTCCCGCATGGTTGGTTTTCCTTTACAGTACTTTCATTGTACCATAAATATTTTATAAAAATGACATCTAAAATGTGCGGTAGATCAGTAATGGTGTTGGTCCATTACACCCCACAACTAGTGTAGCTTTCTTTGCACATTGTGTGTGTATATATGTATCCTTTATACGTAACTTCTCTATTCGGGGTGTAGTTACGGCTTGAAACTTTGCTATCCCTATTTTTTTCTTTTGTATACTTTCTAAAAGTTTAGTTGCTGCTAAACTACTCTACTTTCAGTCTGTTAAAGACAAGGCAACTGGAAAGAACACTTTGGGTGCGGCGAAGAACGCCCTTCCAATGCAGAGGAAACCTTCCAGATCAAAGATGGTGGGAAAGTCTTGTACAAAAGAGACCTGTGAACCTGATGCCAGGTATGTTTGTGTAAAGGCTTCACTACAATAAAAAGGAACAAGTTTTTAATTAAGTGGGTAGAATTTAAATTGGGCGTTTATTGATGCATAGCTTGTGATCATCAAAGTTCTAAAATGACTGCTATATTTCCTGGCTTAATACGGGACGACCTTAAAGGAACTTGAGAGGTTGGAATAGTGCCCTTTATCTTGGTCGGTCTAGATATTAGAGGGGGGGGGGGTCGAATCCTATAGTGTAAAAGATAGAAACTGTATCAACAAAGGGTTTAAGACTGAGGTTCGCAGGCTGCTCCTGCAACAAAGGAGCGGCTATGGACGTTCTCCGGCTCAAAAAAAAAATACAAAACTCTAAAGATCTTTAATTTTTGCGTCAACCACAAGACTCCTAATATTTCTAATCTAGTAAATTTAAAAATACCAAAACGTTAAGTTAGGCTAAAATTAACAAATTTATGAAGTTCTAAATTAAACTGGTTTTTATTTTTAATTGGCAAAAGTTGCTTTGAATTTGACTTTGTGTGTTCCCCAGCTTGCAGGAACTGGTGGTGGAGCGTGAAGAGCTTGCTGTCCTGGGGCAGGTGTAGCCTCTGCCAGCACCGCCACGGACCCTCCTCGCCGCCTCTGCACTAGGCTTCAATCTACGCATTAACGGCTCCAATACCTAGAATATTCCTATGAAAATTTTCAAATTTTATTGTTCACCATTTTAGTTTATTAATAAATTAACTTTTTAAGATTTGTCTTTTTACCCCACGGCGTACTTGTGTTGGGCTCTGATCAAATACATACATTGTAGTATTAAATTTACAGCCATAAATTCTCGCAATTTGTTCTTAAACATTTGAGATCAATTCTGGCCAGCTAATGTCTCCCTTAGCACAGGTACGCCCCCAGACCCTTAACACCTGCCATGGGCTTGAACCCTCGATGCTACTTTATTGTCAATCTCTCAACTTCACTACTTCTGAAACTTTCTAAAGTCACTCGTGTTGCTGACCAATTTGACCGCTGGACAGTGGTTGCTCCCGCCAGCTTCTTCTCCTATCATCGAAACTGGCGCCATGAGGTTTTCTAGTGCAGACTGCATTCGCCCGCGATAGTCTCTAGTTGAGCGCAAATGCCTCTGTTGCAGATTGATTCATATTACCAGACTTTTCAATAACGGTAGTGACTGTTTGGATACAGATTCCTTAACATCTAAAAGCTGTACGCACAATTGGGGGGGGGGGAATTAATCTATGGATAAATAGAGGCCTTACTGTGGGAGCGAACCCGTAAGGCCTTGGGAACCCGCGTCCCTCTAACACCACTCGGCCACCAGCGCTCTGGTTACTCTGGCGCTGAATGTTTACAAGCCTGCACTCTTGTATCTACTTACAAATACATTAATCCTGTTTTCTGAAGCCGCCAAAAGCTCCCATTGCCCCGAATTCTGATGGCCATTAAAAATCCCTCTATCTTCCGAATCCAAACCAGAAGTTGGCAAACACGTGGTATCTAAGAGTTCAGTCCTAATAAGTGTATGGTACTGCAGATGGGCAAGGGAAGATGATCAGGTGTGTATACCATAGATGGAAACAAACTACAGGAATCTGAAATTTGGGACTGGTCATAATTCCAACATTAACATTAGAGGCGAACACAGGCAGCGTGACATCAGCGGCATGTGGGACGCTGGTGAACATTAGAAGGTCTTTTAGAAACTCAAATCTGGTCGCTTTCAATGCAATTTACACACCATTTGTTAGACCAATACCGGAATACGCAGCATCAACCTGGAATCCACACCTTGAGTATAAAATGGAAAAGTACAGAGGTTTGTAACTAGAATAGTGCCAGAGCTAAGGGGGGATAAGGTATGAGGATAGACTGAAGGAGCTATATCTCAAAAGGAGGAAGAAATAGGATATATCAAGATAAAAGATGCAGAGGTGAATAGACAGTGGACAAAAACGGCCTCTTAGTTAAGACAGTAGGACAAGAAAAGTGGAAGCTGGAAAGACAAATGAGTAAGAAATGTCAGGAAGCACTCGTACCCTGTACGGGTGGTCAAGTGAAATTCCATCTAAAGTTTGTGGAAGTCCCCTCCATCCATAACTTAAGGACAGGTGCCACAGATTTTGAGCGTTAGATTAGTCAAGCAATAACGCAGATACAAGGCTAGTAGGTAGGGCATAAAGAGCTAAACCTCACTTCCCCATAGTCGGTGATAGTTAAGTGCCCTCAATCTTGACACTGCAGTTACCGACTCTTTAACGACTGCTATTCGGCACCCTTCTCTTCTGAGTATTATTGTCATTACACACAAGGGGCCTGGTGGATAGCGTGCAGGACTCGTAATTCTGTGGCGCGGGTTCGATTCCCGCACCAGGCAGAAATAAATGGGCAAAGTTTCTTTCACCTTGAATGCCCCTGTTACCTAGCAGTAAATAGGTACCTGGGAGTTAGTCAGCTGTCACGGCCTGCTTCCTGGTGTGTGGGGGGGGGGGTGGTAAAAAATAGCTAGTAAACAGTTAATTTGACAGTTGAGAGGCGGGCTGAAAGAGCAAAGCTAAACCCCCGCAAACACAACTAGGTGAATACACAACTGTGGACGCTGCCTCATTTATAAATACCCAGATTATTTTCTGCCTGCCATTGCAACAAGGAGAGAAGTATCAGTGCAAATTGCCAAGCCATTAGGACTATATTGCACTTGGAAGGAGTCAAGATAAGGATTTGGGATGGGACGGGGAGGGGTGGGGGAGGGAAGGGACTTATCAGGGGAAGTGCCAAGCCATTACGACACTAACACTGGGAAGGGGTCAGGATAAGGATTTGGTATAGGAAGGGGGGAAGGAATGGTACCCAACCCCTTGGATAGTCGGGGATTGAACGCCGACCTGCATGAAGCGGGGGAACAATAACAAAACCTGATTTCAACCCTTCACTAAGAGAAGCAACAGCACCAGACCTCTTCCATGCCTTCCCGGGCCCATCTGAGGACATTCCTGTAGATTACCAACCGCAACACTGCTTTCCTCTACCATTATCAGGACAACGAGTTAAACCAGTATGACTACAGAACACCGGGAAGGAAAATAACAATGGAGTGAAGGAATGGAACCCAACAACTTGGGACATCGGGAATCAAACGCCGGGTCTGCAAGAAGTGAGGCTATCTGAAAAGTTTTACCCGTCGTCAGCGTCGCCAGGTCGAGTTGTTGATCTCTTGCATCTTGCACGGTTTTTTTTTTTTTTTTTTTTTTGCATACATTAATCTAAAGTTTGGAATTTAAACAGTCAGGTTGTCGAAATTTAATCCGTGGAAAATTGCGTAAAGAAATTCTGGAATGACGACAACCAACATCACTCGCTCTGCTGTTGCCACCACCACTGCCACCACCACCAACCACCACTGCCACCACCACTGCTGCCGCTGCTGATCTATCATCACAAGTCCAACGAACATTGACAAGTGTTAAAATATCACAAACCCGACGTGATTGAAACTAAAATCACGTCGAAACTAAACTAACTTGGTTGAAACTAAAGTCCGTTACTAACAGGTGAGGCGCAGGAAGAGAGGGGGGGGGGAAGGAATTATCAGGGGAAAGCGCCAAGCCATTACGACTATATATAGCACTTGGTAGGGGTCAAGATAAGGATTTGGGATGGGACGGGGGGAAGGAATGGTGCCCAACCACTTGGACGGTCGGGGATTGAACGCCGACCTTCATGAAGCGATACCGTCACTCTACCGTCCAGCCCAAGTAGTTGAGCAGGAAGAGAGAGTGAGAGAGAAACCATTTTAACAGTGGTAACTCTTCTACCATGTGCTGATGTACAGTACCACTTGCTGTTAAGGTATAACTCAGGTAAATTTGATCTCCACCACTTTAAAAGAATAGTGAATATATGAGTAACGTGTTGAGTGGAAGATGGGACGTTGCTCACTTCATTAACTTCCCTTGTAAAGACCTCAGTGGTGGCGCTGGAAGTTGTCGTAGGCACTAGTAAGTCAACCACGAGTTAAATTAATACATAATTACCACGCGTTGGAATTGCAACATCTTGACAATAATCCCAAGAATACATTGAAAACACGAAGGCTTATATACAACCTTTGACAGATGTGCCTGATGTTATTTAAACACAAAAATATTTATATATATATATGATGGGCAGGCATTATATATTTCAGATCGCATGAGCCCCAATTTGTATGTGACATATTAATAACGCTGTTTTTTGTCATTCAGTTAGAAATAAAATTAGTTTATTAGAGACAAATTGGTATGCAATAGTTTGGGAAGAAGTGTGGAGGGAGGGAGGAGTAGAGAGGGGGGAGGAGTAGAGAGGGGGGAGGAGTAGAGAGGGGGGAGGAGTAGAGAGGGGGGAGGAGCAGAGAGGGGGGGAGGAGTAGAGAGGGGGGAGGAGTAGAGAGGGGGGAGGAGTAGAGAGGGGGGAGGAGCAGAGAGGGGGGGAGTAGAGAGGGGGGCGAGGTGAAGAGAGGGAGTGGGGCAGGAGGTGGAGTCAGTCGTGCCCAGCACCAGGGTGAGAGTGGTGGGGTTCATACCATTGACGGGTCGACTGGTGAGTGCTCTAGCTGTGTCCTATTGTTTGTACACGAGGCTGTATCAGACATGGGTGTTCCCTCCCTTGTTTATCACGTGTTTTGGGTCGGGATGTTCATGAAGGTACAGTTTACGTACATAGTTTGGGATCAAAATTTATTTATGGGAGATTAATGATATTCGTTGTTTAATGTTTTATATATATATAAACTTCTAGCTGTACCCGGCCACGCATTGCTGTGACTAGACAAATGAGCGTCCCAGTCACGGCAACGCTCTCCATTCCCCCCCCCCCCCCTCCCCACTATTTAGCTTGATAACAAAAAAAAAAAAAAAAAAAATTCTTGAAATGAACAGTATGGGCAAGTCTAAATTCCAATGCAATATTAAAAATTAAATGAAAGTAAATGCATCTATATGGGAGAAAATGTATCGAAGCATTCGGAAAGATTTTAAATGGAATCTTAACGCATTTAGTACTGCGTGTGTTGGTATTACATGCAACAGACGGCACTACTTTTTTCTCAACTTTTTTTTTTTTTTCCCCTCGCATGTGTGGCTTCTGTGTGGTACGTATATAAACACGCGCCTACTCAAATGCTGTCAAAATTCCAAAACAATCTGTGAAGAACTTGCAGAAACTAGCTATTTTGAACAAACTAAGTATTTTATTTATAAAAGTTTTAAGTGTTAGAGAAATTTACTCTTGTACTTCATCCAACTTGAATTTTGGGCTGAAACATAAATTTAGTAGCTACTAAACTTTAAAACTAATCCCAGTAACCTTAAATTTATCTACTTTGCTAGATTTTCTCCAAAGCCTTAATTGCTCCTGCCCGATTAATCCTTTGCTTAAATCTTTCAAATGGGGCTTTACTACAGCTAATTTCTCTATGGTACGTTATACTTCCGCCTACTTGTCCCGTCGGCAACCCGTCCTCGGCTATGCTATTACATACATCACTCTACCCCAGACATTCATAAAATTAGCGCACTATTAGAACAATTTTCTCATAAATACACTAGTATATTTGGTACATGGGCATACACTAGTTTAGGTTCTATTGGCGGTTACTTTTAGTAAACGAGTAAAACGTTTACAGCGGTGTAGTTCGAACAAGTCATTAAAGCACTTATTCCGGAACTGCTCTAACATAATCGGTAGTGTAAACCAGTTACATTCATAAACAGGAGAGGGGGGGGGGGTGGGCGTGGCGGGTGTATGAAATCACTTTGGGTCTTTGGAGGACGGGCTGGCCGTCGGTCTCGGCTTAGAGATCCCCGCAGAGACTCGCTGCACTTCCCTTGTGGACAGCCTCCAGTGAAAATGAGCCTTTGCTAATCTCCTTGGTCAAGCATCTCTTTTGTAGGAGGGGGGGGGGGAACTCAAAGTGCACTATTTTACACAACGGCAAAAAGTTTCTTGGGCACTGTAGAGGTTGCACAGCACGCTTGCATCCTGCACACTTTAACTCCCTCCCTTTTCCAACTTTCCTTTAAACGTTAATGATCTTAAAACACACCTGCGTAGCACCTGTCTGAATGACCTTGTGGTATCCAACATTAGGATTTAACCCTATAAAAATACTAGCCTACACTTTTTTTTCTCTACTTTCCTTCCCTCTATAGGTAACAAAGTTGGCAAAGCTTTCATGAACTTGAAGCATGAAAAAGCTAGTGCTGCATATTAACCTTCATGTTAATAGGATTTTACTCTAGGTAACTTAACTTTAGTAAAGATTTGTCAAAGGGATAAATTTAACGTGCCATAACAGGGTAACATTTTTTTTTTTCAGTTTCGTGTTCTTGGCTGCGTGTGATGGCGGGGTTACGGCTGTGGTTGGTATCAACCCTAGTGTGTGGGTGGCTGACGCTGACCCTCCAAGGACACACTGGAGCCCTCCATGAGGAGTCTCACCAGGAAGTCGACGATCCTGCGAAACTACCGTACTTGACTCAAGAAGACAATGGGATTATGGTAACTGTGTTAATGACTGGCTTTGTACTAAGGCAATGGTTGTACTGGGTAATTTCCATAGTTCCCTCTTATACTAAAGAGTTGGATAGTGGAGAGGCCCCAGCGTGGATTAGGAGGGAATATCGTATATTTAAAGATGTGCAACAAGATGTTGATAAAGGGGTCGAATCGATTGCTCCAAAATCCCCCTTCATACCAAAGTCCCTGAAAGAGTTCCAGTTTGCTGACACTACTAAAGAAAAGTTCGACAGTCCTAACATTACGTTTACCATCGACAAAAGTGTCCACCTATTGGACAAGATATTCTCTTCTCCTCCTGCTCCTGAACACTTCGGCTTCATTATGGATCACTACGCTGAGAATCTCGACCAACTTCTAGGCACAACGCGCTTACGCGAGCTGTTTGGGATCGTAAAAATTACAGATGAGAATCTTGTAGGGTATATTGACTGGGTTAAGGAAGAAGTGATCTCTGCATTTGGAGAGTTGAAAAGACAACTTATCAAAAGATATTCTAGTGGGAAACTCGTGGGTTCGAAAACGGATATTGTTAACGCGATGGATAAAATATTCATAATTTTCTGGCGCGTTCACAGTAATCCTGGTTTACTAGGAGACACGCTTAAAACTGGGGTTAAAATGCACAGCCTGAAAGACTTGGCCATTACTACTCTGGGTGCTGTTAAAGGCGCACTAGATTACTACCAAATAGAACTCAAAATGACTGCCAGTGTTGATAGCGTGCCACTAGCCCTAATTGTACCAGAGCTACATCGTAATCCCACTGCTCATCTGCCAGCAGACTTTATAAAGAAGCTCCTTAGACAGAGGAGGGAACCCAGAGGTACTACCTTAGCAAAGTACTCTACTAACGATTTGTTTAAGATACTTGGAAAATACGAAGTGGAAAAAACATTCGTAATATTCACTGTTGTGGTTAATTCCCTAACTCACCATGCATGGCTTGAAATTGAAAAACATATGGGACTGTTAATAGAGGCGTATCAGAAGATCGGTGGCGCTCAGGCCTCTAACTTCACTTTGGACATACCTACGCTGAAACGCTTACTTCAGTCGAAAGGACAGGGACACTTTGGACTCCCTGAAGACTTTCTTCGTATAATTAAAAATCTGGGGTGGAAGAAATCTCGAGGTATTAGGACTCTTGGCTCTCTCCCAAGTATCTTTCCTGATTATCAGGCTAGAGGAGGCTTCTGGAGCGTACTGAGAGCTTTCTTCGGCTACAAGGTTGCTGTTGATGAAGCTGATAATGCTGTTGTAGTAACGCCTGAAGAGAATCTAGATGAAATTAATAAATTCGATTATTTGAGCCTAGGCTGCCCTCTTGAAGGTAAGAAGTCTGTTAAGTTTAGTTGGCAAGATTTTGCAAAATATTTAAAAAATAATCGTGGCTCCATTTAGGATTTTGGTATTAAAGCCTACACATTTATCCACAGCTGACCCAGATTGTCCCTTACATGATGAAAGGAATCGACCAATAGTTCCTGTGTACCAGGTAAGATAAACTAATACGCTTAGGGGGGGGGGGGAGATGATGCCTAAATAGGGCAAGCCTTTGAATTCTAACTTCGCAAGATCTTGTTTTAAATTCCTGTTGCCACTTGTTTAACTCTTGAACCAAAATTCCACCCATTTTTGTACAGGGATCACCACCGCCTACAGTACAGCCCACTGGTAAGTATGCAACACGAATGACCATGGATACAACTTTACTAGAGATCGAAGACGTAAAATTCTGGGAGGACTACATTGGTAAGATGCCTCATTGATGGGTTTCTCAGGGTTAAATAGGCAATTGTATTGTTTGCCCATATAGTGGTCATATTACTTTGCTAAACTTGCTTGCATGTACCCATAATTCCAGCCTCTAATCATAGGCAGGGAAGAATAAAATGATTCCCAATGGAACTTTAGTAAAGTCAGTCTCTAAGTGACTAGTGTGGTTCTTCCAGGAGACCTAAGGAAGCTAGGCTCCTCCGTTGTGGCAGCCTCCTCATGGGAAGAGGCTCGCACCGGCCTCGGACTATCAGTGACCCATCACCAGCCCACAGACAATGGAACGCTCGTCAATGCAACGATTATAGAGGCGAGTATTAACTAAATGGCTTCACTTGATTTATTAAGATATTAATCGGTAATACTTTCACTTTAACATCTTTAAGTATTATCAAAGTGACGTAGAGGAAAGTCTATATTGTCTTGCCAGTTGTTAACCTCTCCTACTGTTAAGCTGCAATAGTCAAAGGACTATTAACTTGTCCTTCAGCAGGCCCCTCAATGGGAGAACTTCCCTTCCCTTCCCCTCCCCAGAGCATACCCTTTAAATAGTTCAGAATCTAGCATTAGATAAATACTTGCGGATATCTTTGATAACTGAAGCAAGACGCCTGTGCTTTCTTGATGGTACTTGGCCAATACAAATTACGAAAAGTCTTTACATGCGAAATGGCCTATTTATCCCTCTTGCAGAACCCCTACTTAGCTTGGTTCCGGGTAGCAGAGGTTGACTCTCTCCTTAATAGTTAAAAATCCCATTCACAACCCTTTTCCCAGGAATGATCGGCTGGGCTGATCTTGTCCAACCCGTCCTTTCAAAATTTTGTAGTGCGCACACGAGCGATAAGCAATGACCATAAATGGTCGTCATTTGAAGTGAAATCGCCTCGGGAAAGTTTGGCTTACTCTAGTTTTCTGTTTTGAGCCCCTGGATTACTCGGTTAAATTTTAATTTGCGGTTTCCATGACTTTATGAAAACTTTGGTCTTCCTCCCCTCCTAACCTAGCAAAGAACCATTAACTAGTTTTTTCCCAAAACGACATTTCATAGATTTTTCAAATTACGTCTATTGTCCATGCTGGCAAACTACCAAATTTAGACATAATTTGTAACAAAGGTTCTTCTTGTTGGTGGGTTTGGTTTGAGCTGTAGATTGCCCGGAGGAAGACCTCCCAAAGTTGCTGACCAACTCCTGGTGGGGGGGGGGGATATACGCTTAAGGTATATATATGGAGAAAGTGTCAAAGACGGCCCTGTTGATATGAAGTAGGTTAATTAAAAAAATAAAGCTTGTATAAATTTTGCTCTAGCACTTAAACGAACTATGTTTATTTTAACACTTGATAATTTTCTTTTCCAGATGATGAAGTGCTTGACGGGACCAATGTGCGCGGACTGTAAAACATATGTAAAATACCAATCTGGAGAACCGCTCTGCTGCTATGCCTGCTTGACTAGGCGAAACTACTTGGAAATCGAAGAAGATAGATGTGTTTGCTACTACGGCCCGTATGCTCCCTCGAAGTCGGTCGTTTAAATTTTAGTACAAATGTAAGAATTTATAATTAAAGTTACACTAGTTAACTGGCAGTGTTTCTGTATCTACCTAAAACGGACTTGAACGAGAGGCAGCTGTACTCATGATCCCGTAATACTGCCTCCAATGTACATGATTAATGTTCTTTCCTATTTATCTTCATCCTTTTTGTTGGCCCTTTGGCATCCCGTACTTGGGCTAGGCTCGCTTTACAAAAAAGTCGGAGCACATCCGGATAAAGTGCATCTTTGACTATTAACCGAACCACAAAGCTGCAAATGCTTCATACAAATAATCGCCAACAGAACCTAAACGCCTAACAAATGCCTAGATATGCACAAGATGAAAAGATGATTTATAGTTAAGAAACTTAACGTTTTGAATGAACAATGTTAAAACTTATGAATACGTCTTTGGGGACGACCTCTGGATGGAAAAGACTTTATTAGAGAAATGACTGAACTGGGTGAAGTAGGTTTTAGTCATAAATTAGCTTCCTAATTGTTATGGCAGTTACCTTTTTCTCCATTTCCCCCATCCCGTGTCGCTGGATAATCAAAAGGCGCTAAACACTACAGATGCCAGTATGAAAAGTTACAGCCCCGCTCCTGTGCCAGGTAATTCCACTACGGGCTCACCATAGCCCGTGCTACTTGGAACTTTTGTTCCCAGTAGCTGAATCTTGTACGAGCCAGTAAGAGGAGGACGCAAGGCGAGGTCTTTCATGGTATCTGACTTGCCAAAGATTCTATAGTATACAGGAACAATTGACCTGGAAACATTTAGAAAGTCAAACTATCGTCTCTACACTGGCTGCTTGTCAACAAAATGGTTACATGATTATTTTCAATTCAATTGAGCCATGTTTTGCCGTAATTTGTGGCGAAAATGGTAGATAAGCTTGTGGTAACGTAAATTCTTGCAAAATACGTACCCAATAAACTAGCCCTCTAGAGATAAATTCAAATGAAAATACATCTTGGTGCCTCGGACCTACGAAAATCTTAATCTGATCTTTGACACGTTACTAAATACTTCCCAGTCTTGGCGCCTCTTGAGAACTGCTAAACAGCCTTCCCCACCCGCAATTCGTCAGAGGTTTGTGCCTCGATGAGGACAGGAAGCTGACAGCTTGTCAAAGCAGTCGGCTTTCAAAGCCTGATTTTTCAAAATTTTGCCAAAATCGAAGCCTGTTTCTTTTCATTCTCGGTGATTTTATCTACTGACGTTATGTTGTATTTACTATATTTTTGTTTAAATGGTACTTGCCTATTGGTGTAGCTTCATACTGCCGTCCGCAGACTTGCGTGGCTGGATATGTTGACACTGACGAAGGCGCTGCAGATATGGAGATTTGTTGTAGCGTTACTAAGTCTGCCAACAAGTATTCCGTCCACTATATATAACGGCGTATATAAAAGATTCTATAAAACGCTATAATCACGACGAGTGAAGCACGAGCGGTGACACGGGTGAGAATTACGTATAAAGCTGTATGGATGTGAGGCACCAGCTGGGGGGGGGGGAAGACTGCTGTAGACTCCGCCCACCTGCAGTGCGCGCGGAATTTGAATAGTTTGATTGTTGGGAATAGAAAGCATCTTAAGCATATCAATCCTATGCTTGAGCTAATAACTGACTTGACCCAGGATGCAACCCACAATAGTTGCCCTGTTCCCTGATGCCTATTTACTATTAGGTGAGAAGAGGCAGTTTTGGTAAAATAAAACTTGCCCGAACGTCCTTCATGGGAGTAAAACCCGGCCTTTCGGGTGTGAACGGACTGATCTGATACTGAAGTGATTGTTCAAGCAATTTTAGACACTTCATAGGATCGTGCATCATAGGAATGAGTGTTAAAGGAACAGCATATAATAGGGGTATTGCAAAATGCTTGTGATACTGCTACATGACGCAGTCAGTGTGAACCCAAAACAGAAGAGAAGTGTTCGCTGAATGTAACCCGGTGGAGGGATTTTGGAAATTCTTACTGAAGTGACCTTAATCATGGCTGTCACTGAGGGAATCGGTCCTCGCCGGCTTAATGACGAACGCGCCACTACCGCTAATGCAATTAATGTGGACTGCTACAGGCTCTGTTTACATCCCCTGTTTTTTCGGCTTTTGTTGTCTTCGTACTTAAAGAAACAATAACAGAATTATCAGGAATATTAAGTTTACTTAAGTTTCCATTACTAAAAAGTTAGAAACGCCCTCTGTACCAGGATTCATCAAGCACTTACATGACCACTTACGAAGCCTGTACATCTTTCTTCATTCGTAACGGCTTTGATTACATTTATTAAATGGCATCGGCTGCAAACCACTACGAGGTTGTTTATAGCAATAATAACCTTGGGTCGTGAACCCTCGAATATTTAAACTGTTTAATAAATGTAAAACAAAACCAATGATTAAAGAAAGATGTAGAGGTTTCGTAGATTGCATAAATGCTTGATGAAGTGTGGTCTTATCTCGCGAAAGGGCATTCCAAACTTACACACTTCGATACTCTGTGATCCCAGCATACTTAAAGGTTAATTAAATGGCTGCTTGTATCCCCACAAGCCAAGCAGTGTATTAGACTTTACCTGAAATTACACGAGGGCCACTAACACTACTGGCCTTGATGAGGACAGGAAGCTGGCGGCTTGTCAAAGGTCCCTCATTCGTCCTGATTTTTTTTCAAGCAGGATTTTACGGTTCAACAGAGATGTATTCAGGCATCACGATCCTCTAATAGTGTTAATGATGGCAATGGATGTAATACAGAGTTTCAACTTTTTTTTTTATTATTTTTGCACCAAGGTTCGAACCCTTGAGGGCCACCTCTCATTACTGAGAGGTGGTTGTGTAATGTCTTCAATCCGTTATCATCAACAAAGGCCAAATACTAGTTAATCCAGCCGTCAAAGCCCCTGTTTATGAACGAAAAAGGTTTACACATGACACACAACTGATGGTCGAATATTTCTCGAAGAATGCTTCGCCGATGACCTTTCTGAGTCTCGACGGTAAATGTTTCATCCACGTGCTTCAAACGCAAATAATCTCCAATAGAACCTAAATATCTAACCTGACTATACACCTAAATACATCGAAATATAATGTATAATATTACCTTATATATGAGAACAAACCAATTTTTAATACACAGTATGTTAAATTGATGAATGTGTCGGGGGAGGACGGTCGCCGCTTTAACGAGCATAGCCTAGTGACCGGTTGCACGTCTTCAATCGTTATGTGATTGATTTAGTCTGGAAAGTTATATATTATACTTCTTATATCCATTTAGGTTTGCGTCACAAGGTGAGGCTTAAGATACATAATGCAAGCATGAAATCATCTCAAGATGACATATGAGAGAGAAATGTTTGGGTGTTACGAAACGCTTTAAGTCATATATAGACACGGTCGCATAGTATGACTCACGAAAACTATTAGAACCAACTGAGATCATATAAAAACCAGGTTAAAATCATTGTTCATCATTCATCACATGAGTGTCATTATTTTGAGGAGCACTGGACAAAGATTAGAGTTGTGGCCACTTCCTGCACGCGAGAGGAAGCCTCTATCAGGCCTGGAACATACCTCGATAACAGTAGGCTAGTTACTAGCGCGGTACCTTGTGCAGAAGAACAGTCTCCTGACGCGGTTCCTGGGATGCCGTGGATTCTTACGTCGCATCTAGTGCAGTGAAACAGTCCCCCTTGAAGTGGTATCTTGGCACTCGCGTATTGGCAACCAGTTCTTCTTACCACTGACACTTTTTGTCTCCTTTGGCGAGCCATTAGTGTGTTTGCCTTTAATGGCTCCCGCTCGTACAGTGGAAGATAATACAGACCTCTTATGTGGTATAACCTTTACATAGCACCGGATATCGAAGTTCCGGTCTCACGATTTTTATAGTTTCGTAAATTCTGTATCATATTAAGAGAATGTAAAATTATCTTCATATTTCAATGCCATGAGAGTTACTTACTCGGGAGATTCTTCAACCCATGCGGAGTGAGCTTCTTGCTATTACACATAATTTCAACAACTGAACTATATACTATTTTTGAGGATTGCGATATAGCTTTAACCTGTAACCTAGCCAGTCTTGTGTGTAAAACTCGCGGCAGGAAGGATGTCGTAATAAACTCTTTTTGTATTGATAACGGAAGGGGTGTCAGGTGTCTAGTTTCAAGGTCCATGATAAACTGGCAGCAGCAGATACCACCAGCAAGAACACAGGCCAGAAAAGATACCACCCGCAAGAACACAGGCTAGAAAAGATACCACCTGCAAGAACACGGCCCAGAATAGATACCACCAGCCAAGAATATAGTCCAGCAACAGATTCTTTCACCTAAAACCACAGGCTAGTATCTGTAACTACCAGCTTCGTCACTGTCTGTGTAGTGTATGTGGTGACGCGTTATATATATATATATATATATATATATATATATATATATATATATATATATATATATATATATATATATATATATATATATATATATATAAAATAACATGATGTGCACCATATAAATATATTTTCTCTGATGAAATGTATTTATAATCAATGATACGTATAAGCAATGATATATAATATAAACTGCAAAAAATTATGTTAAGTTTAGATAGCATACATTTTTGGGTGTGTTTTGGGAGTGCTCCAGACATTGGATTCCCCGGTCACTAACCCTCTTTTGTCCTCTTACTCTAGCCTGGTGCTTCTATAGTCTTTAGACAAGTTCTGAACCAATGGACGATATAGGAATTTGAGACTATAGTTATCTCGTTTCGCTGATGTAACCGGTGAATCGGGGATGGGACCAGATCTAGCCTATCCACCTTGAGTCTTACTGCCTAACATAAGACCAAAATAGGACGTGGGCTAATATCTGACGCGAGAAAACTTAATTTGCAGTTCAATATTAATAAACAAGGTACAAAAGTTCATTTATTCAGTTGCTAAACCTAAATATAAAACGATATTTGTGAATATATACTCTTTTTTTTTTTACCTTTAACCAATTAATGCATTCAATTTCTTTACTTATTTATTAAGCAATTATTATGGCAGTCTCCGTGGTGTAGTGGTAAGACACTCGCCTGGCGTTCCGCGAGCGCTATGTCATGGGTTCGTATCCTGGCCGGGGAGGATTTACTGGGCGCAATTCCTTAACTGTAGCCTCTGTTTAACGCAACAGTAAAATGTGTACTTGGATGAAAAAACGATTCTTCGCGGCAGGGGATCGTATTCCAGGGACCATAGGATTAAGGACTTGCCCGAAACGCTACGCGTACTAGTGGCTGTACAAGAATGTAACAACTCTTGTATATATCTAAAAAAAAAAAAAAAAAAAAATTATTATTTATTAAATATTTATTTACTTATTAAATATCTAACAATATTTCAGCACAGCTCAAAGCAGGAAGAACTGAGGTGCTTCAGGACCAGCAACTCGGTATGCAAGAGCCGACAGGACTGATCTCATTTCTACCTGTCAAATACTGAGCAAGCTAAATTGTGTGAACATGCATTTTATATTTTTATAATGACAAATCTCGCGTTAGCAAAGTTATGCACTACTGAGTTTCGCTAGTAACTAGCTCAGTAACCGCGACGAGCTTTAACCTTGGTAAAGGAAGATGTAGGTAAGACTAAGAGGCTTCCTGTCGATAATGTAAACTAGAATAGCCTCAAAAAATTATATCATGATCTAACATAGTTTACCTTTCCTCAATCAAACACTCTATAGAAAATTGTAATCTAAATTTTCTGTCATTTAATTTAAGGGCTAACTCTCTTCAACTGTTCTACTGACTTTTTGTAACTATTGTTCATCTCATAACTACATTATTATAGACTAAATTTTCCTCGAGGAAACCTAACAAAAAATTCTAATCAAACGAAACCGGATACAGAGAAGAAAGGATATTTAATAAAGGTGTTTTATTGTTAATTTAGATCTGTTTAGATCAATTTATTTTCTTATCATCAATGTTGTGATAAGGTTAGATATATTAATATTGGTATTCCACGCTCTTCTAACAAAAACGAGCCATATTAGCAAACAGGCCGGTCCATGGAGCTTGTGAATACTAAAACTCCGTTTGACCAGACCACACACTAGAAAGTGAAGGGACGACGACGTTTCGGTCCGTCCTGGACCATTCTCAAGTCGATTGTCAGTTTTAAGATTATTATTAAAAATTATTAGTTTTAAGATTTGCCCGGTTACGTCGCCTGAAAAATATGTACTTTCACAACCAATTGTACCTTTCTTGTATAAATAAATAATAAATAAATTAGTAGTCTTACAAACAAAACATTAATGCTACACAATTTATTAATACAATGTAATACAACCAGTGTGTATTTTCCTTAATAAATAAATTTAATTTTTTATTTGAATTTATTAGTAGTATTATTATTAGTTTATTTCTAATTCTTGGATTTGTTCACGTTCAACTAGAGTGCTGCTGGAGGCGGGAACAGGGCAAGATCGGAGTCTTACTGTCATGTACCTCATGCAAGCTAAGCTTTATATTATTACAAGTAACTATAATTATTGTAATTTTCATTACCTGTTATTCACAGGATTATCTCTGCACCCACGGGTGGTGAGTAGGACCATCTCTCGGCTCTCCAGCATCTATACATCCAGCAATGATTTTCATTCCATGGCGCGAGCAGCTCGCTCTATTTTCCAAGGAGGAGCTCCTCTGGAGGACCACATGACTCCATCCTCCGGAGCGTGATGGCGAGGGCGCAGGTGGAGGACGAGTTGCTGAGGTCCTTCATGATGAAGCGACCGCAAAAATTGGGTTTCTTAGTGTCGACTGCTTGGAAGAGACGATGGTTCATCCTCAACCGCAGAAATCTTATTTATTACAGTGGAGACTTAGTGGTGAGCTCACTTTTGTGTGTGTAGGTCTGACATTCAACAAGTGATACATGTAGAATCTTTGTTCACATTTAACAATATTGATGTGATTATCACCATAATAAGTACTCTTGTTGGGGAATGTACCCTGCGGCTTCAGAGACGACGACCGCTATCTTTTGCTGGGAATATCTGAAATATTTTAATGTTCAACGTAGGATTTGCTTCGAGGGTTTCAGAATGCAGACTGTTTCATATGTTAATGGGGGTAACATGCTTTCTACCGGACAATAATTAACCTGTAGAACAGGATACTTGCCGAGGCCGCTGAAGACACATCAGTGGTCTGTAGTCCTGCTCACGTGTCAGAAACTGTAATACATCTTTCGTATCTCTCCAGAGAGGTACCACAAATATGGTGCAAGAAGTGAGTCGAAGACGAGACGAAGTATGTTTGAGATCATACGGGTCACTCATGCTTACGCATGTCAAAAATTGTACAGTACATAAAGGACATTTTAAACGTAAATTGTATGGAATAATCTGCCAATAGTTGTTGCATAGTTTTCAGGTAACCTAATACCTGCAACCGAAGGCTTGTGTATCTTAGAATTACTTCTTTCCCCCCAATGCGAAGAGCGGGCCGAAAAAAGAGCGCCGACGGCTGGAGCTGTACCAGGTGGTGTGGGTGGAGGTGGTGGACACCACCGAGTTCGGGCGCAAGTGTGTCTTCCAGGTGTGCCACCAGGTCTCCCCGTACGAGCGTTGTGTCCTCTACATCGCCGCTGGCACGGAGCGGGAGCGCTCCCAGTGGCTTCAGAAAATACGCTCATGTGAGTTTTGGTTTTGTTAGCGGTTGAGTGTATATCATGAACCGGTTGGTATTATATCTTGCGCTCATCTCACACCAGTACTTAACTGCTGTCAGCTAACTGTTTTTTATAGAGACTAACGTGTGTGTGTGTCTGTGTGTGTCCAGCAGTGGTGGCTGGAAACCAGGTGCTGAGTCAGACCTTCCACCCCCAGACCTTCGACAGGAGAAGGTGGAGATGCTGCTCGGCCGGCAAGACGGTCACCCCGTGCTCGGACATCACCTGGACCCCGGAGTCACAGCGACTCTTGATAGGTAAGCTGCCGCTGCTTCTCCCCCCCCCCCTCCCTCTCCCTCCCTCCCCCTCCCCCCCCTTCCCCTCCCCCTCCCCCCCGGGTCTTCTTCCCCTTCTCCCTCCTACACTCTCTTTTCGTCCCTTCCTCACGCTTGCCTTCCCATCCTCCCTACCACAATTCCACTATTGTGCCTCTGAAACAAAATCTCACCGTTTCTCTCATGGTTCGATCTTCATTGCTACCACACCTCCCGTTATCTCCTCATTTTATGTTCCCTTCGTACCTATCTCACTCCCATTCCATCGTTCCTCCCTCTCTCACTCCCTTCCTCCTTCTCACTAGTGGTGCTCGGGAGTATTTGGTCGTATATGATTTGTTTCACCAGCAAAAGCAATGACGCAGATGTGTATGGAGATGTGATCATTGAAATATTGAAATACCTGCTTAATGCCCACCTGTATCAGTTGCCCGTAGGAATCTTCTGTGTTCAGTAATTCCCATCAGAACTATTTCAACGAGTTTTTGTACATTTGTCATGTCTGTGCGTGTTTGTATACGTGTCCCTGTCCCCCCCCAATAATTGAGAGTCCGTCTCTTCTGACAGGCAGCCCCACGCTCTCCAGCTCCTCACCGACCCCTCAGGTGGACGAAGCACCCGTAGAGGTGAGAGTCGCCTTCACTCACATATCTGACAAAAACCGCGCCACATTGCTAGGCTTTAGGCACCAAGATGTTTCCGTGGTCAGGTCTGGCCTGTCGGGGGCTCCCATCACTGACATGTGCCTTCGACAACGATTCCTCAACCTCCTTGCTATCTCTAAAACCATTGCATGCAACTACTGTATTACCTAAACAACACCCAAGGCCCCTGCGGAGGGGGGAAAATGAGTTATAGATCCCCGTGCATATTACAGCCCCTGTTACCTAGCAGTAAAATAGGTACCTGGGTGTTAGTCAGCTGTCACGGGCTGCTTCCTGGGGGTGGAGGCCTGGTCGAGGACCGGGCCGCGGGGACACTAAAGCCCCGAAATCATCTCAAGATAACCTCAAGATAGTTCCATATTCATAGATATAGATAACCTGAAGATAGTTCCATATTCATAGATAATTCAGATATAATTTTTAGATATTAAATTATACGTTAGTATATTACAGTCATATTGATATGTTACTCAAATGGTTATTGAAGTAAGCCTTTGTCAGGTCTCAAGCGGGCCTTTGACCTCAAGATATTGACCTCCTGTAATCTTGTGTTACAGGATGCTGAGAGTACTGACGGGGCTGCGCAACCCGATAATAAGGTAAGAAATATTGGAATGATGTGTGTGTGTTGTAGTTGTGTTACAGATATTTCTTGTAGCTGAGTTACATTGCCATGTTTCTTCCACTACTGTTCTCTTCTACAAGTCACTTGAATCTCAGACTTTCCCTCACGCATGTCAAGGAATGTGTCGTCAAGTCACACTAGTATACACACTCATTACGGAGTGTATGTTCACACAATTGACTCAGGCACAATTGACTCAGTTTTGTCTTGTTGTTGGTGTAGAGTTCCTGAGAAACAGTAATAATTTAACCTAAGATCTAACCAAAGTATACTAAATATATATATACTTCATTAGGCATAAGAGTGTGTATATTTGGCTTATCTATATCTTCAAAATAGCATCTGTCCAAAGGTGGTCAAACGCTTAGGATTAGCCTCACATAACTTTCCAACATGAAGCATGGGAGGTATGGGAGTGTCATAGGCCAGTCGGGGTCGGCGCCAGTGCCACACTATAAGAAATATGGGCATCTCTGTTGATCCCTCTTTGATTTTCATGGTCTTTAATAAAATCACGGATGTATTTTCCGAAAGATTTTTAACCATTTCTTTCCGTGCTTTGTAATATTATTATTATTATTTTTTTGTGAGAGAGCGAGGTGGGCACTACAAGGTGGGCACTACAAGATTGGCACTACAAGGTGGGCACTGCAAGGTGGGCACTACAAGGTGGGCACTACAAGGTGGGCACTACAAGGTGGGCACTACAAGGTGGGCACTACAAGGTGGGCACTACAAGGGTGTTATTACAAAAGTGTGAAAAATAACTTGCAATTGTAGTAATTATGACATGTAAAAATGCTGTTGTCGTCGTCACAGGAAGCTCCATTGATCGTAGAAGCCTTGTACCACTACGAGGCCAACAGGCCGGGGGACCTGACGCTAAACAAGGTGGGTAGGTGTGTGTGTGTGTGTGTGTGTGTGTGTGTGTGTGTGTGTGTGTGTGTGTGTGTGTGTGTGTGTGTGTGTGTGTGTGTGTGTGTGTGTGTGTGTGTGTGTGTGTTAGTCTGGTCAGCAGGTGTAAGAGTACAGTGGAGTACTGTAGCACGAGAGTGTGAAGGTACTGTGAAGTACCGTAACACAAGAGTATGAGGTACCATAGAATACCATAGCACGTGTGTGAGGGTACCATAGAACACCATAGCACGTGTGTGAGGGTACCATAGAATACCATAGCACGAGTGTGAGGGTACCATAGAGTACCGTAGCACGTGTGTGAGGGTACCATAGAGTACCGTAGCACGTGTGTGAGGTACCATAGAGTACCTTAGCACAAGAGAGTGACTGTCTCTGTCTCTCCCCAGCACGACGAGCTGTTGGTCTTGGACAAAACTTTGGACGAAAACTGGTGGCACTTCAAAAACATCAACACAGGGTGAGTATGAGGCACTCTCCTTCATCCCTGGCACCCCTCCCTCACCCCTGGCACCCCTCCCTCACCCCTGGCACCCCTACCTCACCCCTGGCACCCCCCATCACCCCTGGCACCCCTCCCTCACCCCTGGCACCCCTCCATCACCCCTGGCACCCCTCCCTCACCCCTGGCACCCCCATCACCCCTGGCACCCCTCCCTCACCCCTGGCACCCCTCCCTCACCCCTGGCACCCCCCTCCTTCACCCCTGGCACCCCCCTCCTTCACCCCTGGCACTCCTCCCTCACCCCTGGCACCCCTCCCTGACTCCTGGCACCCCTCCCTCACCCCTGGCACCCCTCTCTCACCCCTGGCACCCCTCCCTTACCCCTGGCACCCCCCTCCTTCACCCCTGGCACTCCTCCCTCACCCCTGGCACCCCTCCCTCACCCCTGGCACCCCTCCCTCACCCCTGGCACCCCTCCCTCACCCCGTGACACCTGTCCCTCACCTCTGACACCCCACCCAACAATTCACCACAACTAAGCCACTCCCCCATCATGCTAATCCCCGCGGCTCATCAATTATACCATTGTGAACGACAAGTTTTGAGCTGAACCTTTGTAACTTTGTTTTTGTACTGACACGAGGAGTGACAACGACGGTGCTTTCTGTTGGCAGAGCTCACGGCGTGGCCCCGAGTAACTTCGTCAAGGTGCGAGACCACAGCTTCCTCAAGGAGTACGAGTAAGTTCGGCACGTGGGCTGGACGGTAGAGCGACGGTCTCGCTTCATGCAGGGCGGCGTTCAATCCCCTGGCCGTCCAAGTAGTTGGGCACCATTCCTTTCCACCCCGTCCCATTTCAAATCCTTATCCTGACCCCTTCCAAGTGTTATATAGTCGTAATGGCTTGGCGCTTTCCCCCCCTGATAACTCCCTCTCCCTCCCTTGTATTTTTTGTATACTAAACATTCTTCAGTGTGGCACACTTGTCTAGTGTGACACGCTTATCGAGCGTGACAAATATCCTCGAGTGTGAGTAACTCGTCCAATGTGTTCGGGGTTACATGAACTTCCAGATGCTTCTGTTTCGGAGAGTCATCTCCTTTTTAATTCATATTGGTAAATGTCTTCTTCTTCTTTCCCATCCCAGTTCTCATTACTTTGCATTTATCTGGGTTGCAGTCTAGCAGCCATTTCTTCCACCATCACTGAAGCTTAGCTATATCCTTGTGTCTTTTTTTTTACAGTACCTGTGTGTTAAAATTCTTCATTAATTTTATATCATCTGTGTTTCATAACTTGTTTGGAACCGTATCAAATGCTTTCTGGCAGTCTAGGAAGGTACAATCTGCCTCTACTTATCTTCCCTGTTTTATCGTTGTCATAAAAACCCCAGCGGGGTTCATTACGCGTCGCTTATCTTTCGTGAAGCCACGTTTGTTGACAAAGTTTCCACCCTTTAGATGAATCACTAATTTCCTTACCTTTCCTTCCCATTGTTTCCCTTCCTAATATTTGGCAAATAATTCATAAAAACTAACATCTGTTATTTAAGGTCTTTTGTCCAGACATTTCTTAGAATATAGGTTCCAGTGCCCGTTGGTGTTCGGCATTCCTTCGGTATTTCTTGTTAGTCATTTATATTGTTGGACCTGATGCTTTTGTTGGACCTGATGCTTTTGTTGGACCTGATGCTTTTGTTGGACCTGATGCTTTTGTTGGACCTGATGCTTTTGTTGGACCTGATGCTTTTGTTGGACCTGATGCTTTTGTTGGACCTGATGCTTTTGTTGGACCTGATGCTTTTGTTGGACCTGATGCTTTTTGTTGGACCTGATGCTTTTGTTGGACCTGATGCTTTTGTTGGACCTGATGCTTTTGTTGGACCTGATGCTTTTGTTGGACCTGATGCTTTTGTTGGACCTGATGCTTTTGTTGGACCTGATGCTTTTTGTTGGACCTGATGCTTTTGTTGGACCTGATGCTTTTGTTGGACCTGATGCTTTTGTTGGACCTGATGCTTTTGTTGGACCTGATGCTTTTGTTGGACCTGATGCTTTTTGTTGGACCTGATGCTTTTGTTGGACCTGATGCTTTTGTTGGACCTGATGCTTTTGTTGGACCTGATGCTTTTGTTGGACCTGATGCTTTTGTAGGACCTGATGTTTTTGTCGGACCTGATGCTTTTGTCGGACCTGATGCTTTTGTCGGACCTGATGCTTTTGTCGGACCTGATGCTTTTGTTGGACCTGATATACCAGCAACCAGTATAATAAGAATTCAGACTTACATTAGAAGGAAAGGTAATTATCAGGGGAGAAAACAGTATGATTATATAGTACTTGGAAGGAAAATACGGACAGGCTAAAAACCTAGGAAGTGAAGACAGAGTGAAGGAAATTTGCCCATCCATAGGTACCGCTGGGGAATGGAACGCCGACCCAGCAAGATCGGCGTTCCATTATTCCCAGACCATTATTATTGTTCCAATATTCCCGTTCCGACCCAGCAAGAAGTGAGCCTTGCACCTTACCAACACAGTTAAAAGAGTTCAGTGCCTGTACTTCACACGCCGCGAAGCTTTCTGAATGTTTTGAAGTGACGGGAATGTGTGTTCGTGGGTCGACAGGTGGTACCTGGGGCCCGTAGGGAGAGAGGAGGTGGAGCAGCTCCTGACGAAGGCGGCGTGCGAGGGAGGCTTCGTGGTGCGCGACTCGGCCACCAGACCCGGCTTCTACACTCTCTCCGTCTTCACCACAACGTGAGTCGTAATAATAATATGACATATAATATGACATATCTCTCTCTCGTCTCCATTCCAAAGAATATATTTTGAGTGCTTTGAGACAACTCCAGAAATTAAGATTCTCATCACGTTGTGCTTGCTGGGGTTGAGCTTCGGCTCTTGGGACTTACGGTGTGCAGTGTATGTTCTGTGTCTCCTATTTTAACCCCCATGTGTAGTGCACCATTGATCCGTGAAAGTACCAGATGTGTCAAAGCACCCTTCTTCCCTGTGTTGTGAACGTGAACCCTCCGTCCCTGTGTTGTGAACGTCGTGAACCCTCCGTCCCTGTGTTGTGAGCGTCGTGAACCCTCCGTCCCTGTATTGTGAACGTCGTGAACCCTCCGTCCCTGTCTCACCAGAGTGGACCCTCCAGTGAGGCACTACCACATCCGCCGTGACGGGGACGGGTTCTACTACGTGTCCCAGTCGGTGAGAGGACGCAGCGTGCCCGAAATGGTAGACCAACACCGGCACAACCCCGGAGGCCTCTCCACCAGGCTCAAGCCCATCACCAGGGACCTTGAGCCCAAGACCACAGTCATTGGTGAGTATCTGACCCCATCACCAGGGACCTCGAGCCCGAGACCACAGTCATTGGTGAGTATCTGACCCCATCACCAGGGACCTCGAGCCCAAGACCACAGTCATTGGTGAGTATCTGACCCCATCACCAGGGACCTCGAGCCCAAGACCACAATCATTGGTGAGTATCTGACCCCATCACCAGGGACCTCGAGCCCAAGACCACAATCATTGGTGAGTATCTGACCCCATCACCAGGGACCTCTCGCCCGAGACCACAATCATTGGTGAGTATCTGACCCCCATCACCAGGGACCTCTCGCCCAAGACCACAATCATTGGTGAGTATCTGACCCCATCACCAGGGACCTCTCGCCCGAGACCACAATCATTGGTGAGTATCTGACCCCATCACCAGGGACCTCTCGCCCGAGACCACAATCATTGGTGAGTATCTGACCCCATCACCAGGGACCTCTCGCCCGAGACCACAATCATTGGTGAGTATCTGACCCCATCACCAGGGACCTCACGCCCAAGACCGGTGAATATGAGGTCTTGGATGAGGAGATATTTGACCCAGCACGTCTTAAAATTACATAATTGTTGCATTATAACTATAAAATTTCTAAGCCTCACATTTAAGACTAAAATACTTTCTACTCTCTCTGGTTTTGTCAAAAGAGCAACATATTATCACAACAAAATCTTGAAACATAATATAATGTAGTATCAGATGTTGCTAAGACCAAGAGATACGAGCAACTTACGGTAAGAAATATCTGCGGGATTGCAGAGCATCTGAAGATTGACCCAAATGAGTTGCGGCTGCTCGATTTTCTGTCTTCGGGGGAGAGCAGGGTCGTGCGAAGAGGTCGCCTGAGGGACATCGAAGTCGTCGTCAAGGTGATGAAACCAGACGTCACTCTGGAGAGTTTCATGGAGGAAGCCCAGATTATGGCGTGAGTAATGCTGAACTGTAAGAGTATCATGCTTGCCATTACACGCCCATACCCACTTGAAACACGTCCACGCCCACTTAAAATTCCTCTCACCAACCTTGGACAAGTCCATGCCAGCCTTGGACAGGTCCACGCCAACCTTGGACAGGTCCACGCCAACCTTGGACAGGTCCATGCCAACCTTGGACAGGTCTATGCCAACCTTGGACAGGTCCATGCCAACCTTGGACAGGTCCATGCCAACCTTGGACAGGTCCATGCCAACCTTGGACAGGTCCATGCCAACCTTGGACAGGTCCATGCCAACCTTGGACAGGTCCACGCCAACCTTGGACAGGTCCATGCCAACCTTGGACAGGTCCATGCCAACCTTGGACAGGTCCACCCCAACCTTGGACAGGTCCACGCCAACCTTGGACAGGTCCACGCCAACCTTGGACAGGTCCACGCCAACCTTGGACAGGTCCATGCCAACCTTGGACAGGTCCACGCCAACCTTGGACAGGTCCACGCCAACCTTGGACACGTCCTTGCCCACAATAAACATGTCCTTCTCTAGTTTAAGCACGTCCCTCCTCTTAAGGCTCACCTCCATCGCATCTTGAGCGAACACTATTGCTAATCAAAAGCCCCCAAAACAGTGACCACTGGTGGTAAAAATAAACCCCTTGAGTAGTTCCTAAACCTGATGCCTCGTGTGTTCCCCCAGGGAGCTCCAGCACCCTAACCTGGTGCAACTGTTGGGCGTGTGCTGCCAAGACAACTCCTCCTACATCGTCACCGAGCACCTGCCCATGGGCTCCCTACTCTTCTTCCTTCGCAACAACGAGAGCGTTTTCCTTAACAAAACCAGCGTTCTCTTGAGCATGAGTGAACAGGTGACTATCAATCCTATCCTTCACTTGAGACTCTACGACCAGGTAGCTACTAGTACTGTTCTTCGTTAACGGATGTCAGAACAGATAACTGTATACCAGGATAAAGGACATCATTTTTATGCTATAATGTTGCTTGTTACAATTGTGTTCGTAATATAAACAATTGCCCCTCGTTACAGCTGTGTGCTTGAGATATAATGAGAGCCCTCATTAGAGGTGTATTATGGTATAATGAGTGCCCCTTCATTACAGGTGTGTTCTGCATTAGCGTATATGAATTCTCGTCATCTCATTCATCGCAATGTCTCTGCCAGAAACTGCTTCGTAGGACCCGATTACCTGGTGAAGTTGGGTAACTTCCGGCTTTGTAGGTGAGGACCCAACCCCAGTACTGCCTCTGTAGGTGAGATCCGGCCTTAATACTGCCTCTGTAGGTGAGATCCGGCCTTAATACTGCCTCTGTAGGCGAGATCCGGCCTTAATACTGCCTCTGTAGGTGAGATCCGGCCTTAATACTGCCTCTGTAGGTGAGATCCGGCCTTAATACTGCCTCTGTAGGCGAGATCCGGCCTTAATACTGCCTCTGTAGGTGAGATCCGGCTCTAATACTGCCTCTGTAGGTGATGCCCCAACCCCAATACTGCCTCTGTAGGTGATGCCCCAACCCCAATACTGCCTCTGTAGGTGAGACCCAACCCCAATACTGCCTCTGTAGGTGAGACCCAATCTTAAGTATCGTACTTACTGTAAGCAAGATCCGGTCTGCACCAGCCCGTCCTCCTAAAGCTCCACAACGTCAAGACACTGTTGTATTCAGTACCCTAATCCTAACCTATCAGAGAACCCCAAACAGAAAATGGTACAATATGTCAATTTCGCGAGCCGCTACCATCTTCTAGTACACAAATGTTTGGCCTTACTTAATAGCCGTTTGATCGCTGTATTGTTTCAAGCGAAGGTTAGACTTATGTATGAGTGAATTTGCTTTGGTATATTTATAAGTTGTCTTACATGGGTCAATTGGAACAGGCTCGCAAGGGCCAATAAGAACTGCCTCGCAACAGCCAATAGACTTACGGGCTATTCATGCCCATGCCATCTTTTGGGTGGCTTAATCTTTATCAATCAATCAATCAGCCAATAGACCTTCTGCAGCTTCCATTTATCATATGTCGTTACTGCGTCACACCTAGAAGCCTCTCCCTCCTTCAGACAAGTGGAGAGCGACCTCTACGTTGGCTTCGGTGGGTCCTGCTTCGCCATCAAGTGGACGGCGCCAGAGGTCCTGTGGTTCTCAAAGTTCTCCTCTAAGTCAGACGTTTGGGCCTTCGGCGTGCTCCTGTGGGAGGTATTCTCCTGCGGCAAGATCCCCTACGGCAGGAGGAACAACCAACAGATTGTTGATTATGTCTCCCAGGGTAACCGCTTGGACCAGCCAAGGTTCTGCCCGGACGCTGTCTATCAAGTAAGTCTTAAACTCTTGCAGATCTGTTTTCTTCAGCGGTCTGTATGTATTCATGAGTGCATGTATAGTACAATACATACAAGTGAAGAATATAATATTCCACTTTTCATTTATCTCGAAATCCAATATTTTCTATGTATTAAACTGTAAGGAAATAATTATTGTGTTGGCAGATTATGATTAAGTGTTGGGAGGGAGAGGCCGAACAGCGACCATCCTGTGGACAGGTCCTCGACTGTCTGCACACCCTTCAAGACCAGGACACTTCCTTGAATTAGTGCCAATATCCTTCACTTCATTGATATCCCTCCCTCACTGCTGAAGAGTTTGGCACTGAGATATGGAGTGACACTGAGATAGTGAATGAGATAAGGAGTGACACTGATATAAGAAAGTACACCCCCTGAGACTGACCATCTCCATACAACTATCACAGTGTTATACTCCAGACGGAAGGCGGGACTAGGAAGGTTATCAGGGAAAGTGCTGACCTAATGCCATTGATTTTCACCCGCCAGCCGCCGGTTGTGTACCTCAGGCAGGAGAGACTTGAAACCCGTTCTCCCGGACAAACTCGATCGGCGACAAAAAGTTTGCAAAACTGAGGCCGCGCCACAAGGTCCTCTAACGTAACTTGCGGATGAACTTGCTGTTTATCATTGATGTACACACTTTATTATGTGGCGGAGAGTCACATAGGTAACAATAAATAATTATAATAATAATTAATTTTTTTCGGGAACAACAAGACTTTGTGTATGTATGTATGTATGTATGTATGTATGTATGTATGTATGTATGTATGTATGTATGTATGTATGTATGTATGTATGTATATATATATATATATATATATATATATATATATATATATATATATATATATATATATTTGGCTTGTATCGTCCAGCCTAAGTGGTCTGCCCAATCACTTGGGCTGGACAGTATTGCTTTATGTAGGTCGGCTTTCAATCCCCGACCGTCCAAGTGGTTGGGCACCATTCCTTCCTCCCCTCCCATCCCAATCCTTATCCTGACCCCTTCTAATATAGTGGTAATGACGACGTTTTCTCCTGAGAGTTTCCTTCCCTTGTATCCTCGTCTCCCTACAGCCCGTCCTCCTAAAGTTTCCCAACGTCAGTTGTTGTTTCAGATTTAGCTACTCAGAACGAAATGTCCATGTAGCACGGGCTATGGTGAGCCCGTAAGAGAGCCCAACGGCAGAAACTGTCCTACTAAAGTGCCCTTATTAAGGTGAGGTGAGACATTCTTCTACGAAAGTATTTAATTACTCTTAATTGTTAATGTCTGTTGAGGTATATGTCTCTGCGGACCAGGCTATCTTCCACTAACAAAACTTAGTGCAATTCAATTTCTTTCTTTATTATGCACCCCATACCCATCCCGTGGGCGGTTGTGTAAAGGGTTACTGAGGCACATAATCCGTCCAGGAAAACCTTCTGCAGATAAAAATGTCTAGCCTTAAAAGTCGAATGGCAATATGTAAATTATTAAAGCCTAGCACTCTTAACTATGGGGGATGTTATCAATTCAACCTCGAGTCAATTTAAGTATGATAAGGTAGGTAATTATGAAGAGAAATCGCTAAGCCGCTGTGATTATGTAGCCCTTGGAAGGAATGGACAAGAAACTGGGATCTTAAGAATTAGGTAAAGATGATAACATTGCACTAACCTTATTTTGGGATGTTGCTTCACTTATAACCGGCTCCGAGCTAAACAGCGTTGGTACAAGTAGCCCATTTGGATTATTAATAATTATATAGCTTATATATTTGGGGGATTCGGAGCCCGACTTATGGCGCCTATGATTCAATATCCAAACCTGCTTAACACAAGCCTCGCTAACTATTCCAATGGAACTTACAGGTGTGAAAGAATAGTTAGGAATTGTTTAAGGAATGGCTTAATAACTGGTGAAACTATTTCCTGGCAACTCGGATAAAACTGAAATCACACCACACACTGAGCCTTTGTTGTTGTTTTGAAAAAACTTCTCTATTTTTTTTACTTCCGTATCCCTCAGGGGGTTGCAAGGAATTCATTTATCTGGCTTAAATACACATGATCTATTGATATTAATAACTTTGTATAATTCATTTAGTATAAATTTGAATTATGGAACGGTTATAATGCACCTGGATAAATTATTATTCATTTAATTCCAGGTGTAACCTCCACGAACCTATTATGTTTGTAGGGATTTACAGACGTAAAGATACCAGACGGAAGGTAAAGCTACTAGACAGACGTAAAGATACCAGACGGAAGGTAAAGCTACTAGACAGACGTAAATATACCAGACGGAGGGTAAATATTTCAGACGGAAGGTGAAGGCCGATTGGCGACACCACAGAGCGACCTCTGTGGTCTGATCGCCAGCAAACAGGTTTTCATCAACATTCTTTCATGACAGGAGATTCCATTACCAACTTATTGTTGAAATAGTCTGGCATTAAACTTATAATTGTTGCATCATATGAACATCTTTTAAATGTGGAACAAAATTCTAGGATCAACAAAAGCCTAGTATAACGTTTAGAGGTGAATTTTATTACAAAACTGTGTACATAAATAGGATTTTAAGCCTGTAAGAGTGGGTCTTGATGGTTGCTACTTTGTTGTGTTGGTCTTCCAGGTCGTGATGAGTACTGTTGAACTGCCACCAGGAGTGTTGGGTCCAATTCTGGCGTATTAACCCCTTGTGGTGCCAGTGTTGGGTCCAGTATTGGCGTATTAACCCCTGTGGTGCCGGTGGTGGGTCCAGTACTGGTGCCAGGGAGCGTAATACCATGTCCAGTTTTACAGAACACTGAAGAGAACCCGGTTCTCGTGATGTTAAGTGTCATCATCAGTTGGAGTTGACGCTGATGAGGCCATTTGCATTCTTGGGAGGAGAGATCTGTGGTACAGCTACAGAGATCTGGGGTACTTCTACATATTTCTGGGGTTCGGTTATTGAGATCTGGAGTACAGTTTCAGAGATTTGGGGTAAAGTTAGAGAGCTGGGTAGTTACATAAAGACACATTTACAATGATCTAGGGTGCAGCTACATAGATCTGGGGGGGGGGAAGTTATAATGGTCAGAGGTACAGTTTCATCAAATATCATTAGGGTTATCTATATGTGCTGCATATGTAAAGAATAGTGGTGTACTATACGGTGCAGTTATAATGAACAGTAGTGGTGTTACAAGAACTGATGTATACAGTAGTGGTGTTACAAGAACTGATGTATAGAGATAAAGAGCACTGATCCGTTTGAAGAGAATACTTTATGGTTGAGTATTGCAGTTTACAGAATGCTGAAGTTTTATGTGAATATGGAATTTTTATGAGAGCACTGGCATCTTTCTGAAAACAACAACTTTCCGATAACATCAACGTCTTTATGAAAGTACTGGTGTCCTTCTGAGAACACTAACGTCTTTATAAGGACACCCCAAGCATTTAAAATGAGCATTGAGGTCTTTATGAGAGCATTAGCGTTTTTAAGATCCCTGATATCTTAAAAACAAATGATATATTTTAGCTAACGTGGGTGATATTGTATAGATCAGTTCTGCCGAATTAACAATTGTGGCGTCAGTTTTAGCAAATCTGTGCTTTTCTGATAGCAAGTATCTTAATGGTAAATAATATTTACACAAAATAGAAAGCAAGTTAACCAGGGAAAGGTTAATTGGGCTCAAACGACGGTGCTAATTAATGGCAAATTCATGGGGGCTCAGATTACAAATAATTTTATATTTTGTATGGTAATTTAAAAATTGTTTTTGTTCGTTATGTTTGAATCGAAACCGATTAAGTAGGGGACTTTCCAAAATCAAAATTGTCATGGCGTCTGTTATGGGTTGATACTTGTAATATGCACAGTGTTATTCGTCATACAGGACGCAGTAAACTCAGATAATGCAAGTTTTGTAGGACTGGTCTTGGCCGCTCGGAGCTCAGTACCTGCCAAGTACCTTCTCAATATTCTGGAAATATATGCACCAGCGAATTGTACCGACTGGTGATGAATTCATAGGAATTAAGCTCAGAAGATTTATCAATAAAGATATACCAAAAATTTACCAATAACACTATACTGATATCTACCAATAACAATCTGCCAGTAAAAATCTACCAATAACTATCAATATAACCTAAAATTATGCTGATCTTATTTTGTCTCGATACACGGTCTACTTTAAGTCACATTACCAGCCACCTCACACTCTGGTATTTGCCGTCACTGACGCCCTAGGCTTCGTGGTGCTCATTCTGTAGCTTGTGTCTTTGTCTTTGTTTACAATATGCAATTACCATATTGTCATCATTATTGAAATTATTTTGATATTTATTAATCCAAGATATCAGAGCCAGCTTTCAGTCTTTGACGATCAAGTGGTGTTTTGACTGCTCTCCACGCAAGATAACGAAATCACAAGAATGCCATATATTTGAGAAATTATCGAGATTAAACAATTTGTCTGTGTAGTCCAGGAATGTGAGTTCGATCTATATATTTTCTGTTCTCTGCTTCACTGTCATCAACAACATTTGACACTGCTCAGCATAACTCATCAATATCATTTACGTCAATCGCGAACAATCACGAATCTCCAAGACAAAGCCTTCTGGTACTTCAATTGTTACCTCCAGTACTTTATGGAAGTATGAGCCTTACGACACGATAACTACAAATGTTCAATAATCGCGTATTATTGTCTTGAACGTGATGGACTTGGTATATGGTTAAGTTTAGGTAGGAAGCAGGAATAACGGCCATGACTGGTGGGACAAGCGAGACCGCAGTAGCCTTGGTAACCAGAGATAGTAAAAAAGTCTCTCCCAGACTTGCACAGTTACCCGACAATCAGCCTTCTATTTTTTGTCTAAAAATATATTATCGAAACTTGAATGATATAAAAATACGACTTGGCTAAAAAATATTGAAGATAAATATATGAATATGGAATATATTTATATATTAATTCTGATAGTGTTGGCGCAGCGAATTGGTTACCGTAAGAGCGATGTATTCTGGCTCGTTGTTGGTTACTGTGCTGGCGATGAGTGACAATAACGTGGCTAAAGTATGTTGACCAGACCACACACTAGAAGGTGAAGGGACGACAACTTTTCGGTCCGTCCTGGACCATTCAGTTGCGCCTCCACAGATCTCCAGTATCATCTTTTGATACTGGTAATGGCTCGAAAGGGCCACCACTTACGGGCTATTCATGCCCGTGCCACCTCTTGGGTGGCTTAATCTTCATCAATCATCAATTCCTCATCACAGTCGACTTGAGAATGGTCCAGGACGGACCGAAACGTCGTCGTCCCTTCACCTTCTTGGTTAATGTGGCTTGTGACCGGTGTATTTCCTGGCTTTTGTCGTGTTGCCATACCTACGTCAGGTGTTCGTATTGTATATTATCTGTTTTGATATATTAAATGAATTATAGATGGCAATACCTTTTCATGAGTGGACATTGAGAGAGGCACTGTATAACAGAAATGGTTTTGTTATGCGACTAATTAATGACACATACATACAAACATGCATGCATATATTCACACATACTTATATACATACATATGTACGTAAGTTCATTCTTTTAATGCACATACTAATAAGTGTGATATTGACGGAAGCCTTCTACACCTACATGTAGAACGCTGTGTGGGGATATATGTGTGTTGGGGGGGGATATATTTACCATTTGTGTCTACAGAATCGAGCTATTAGCTCTTGGACCCCGCCTTTCTAAGTGTATGTATGTGGAGGTGAATGTGTGTATGCGAGGGGAGGGCTAGGTAAGTGAGTGTATGTATTTACTATTTCCATTTAATATTTGTATGCAGGATCGGGCTTTTAGCTCTTGGATCCCGCCTTTCTAACCGTCGGTTGTCTATTGTACTGACTCCTGACCTAATTTTCTCTATCATATCTACTACATATATTTCCCACACATACATTCACACACACACACATCCCCAGGAAGCAGCCCGTAGCAGATGTTTAACTCCCTGGTACCTATTTACAGCTAGGCGAACAGAGGCATTTGATGAAACTTTGCCCATTTGTTTCTGCCTCGACTGGGAATCGAACCCGGGCCCTTTAGACTATGACTCCCGAGCGCTGGGTATGTAAGACTGAATGTATGTATTTATATGTACACGTGTGTATACGGACGTACGTGTGTGTGTGTGTGTGTGTGTGTGTGTGTGTGTGTGTGTGTGTGTGTGTGTGTGTGTGTGTGTGTGTGTGTGTGTGTGTGTGTGTGTGTGTGTGTGTGTAGGCGCGAGTGATGTTTTACCTTAGGCTACACAGGAGCCGCCAACATCCACACACATTACCACCACAAATTAATATTTGATTATATTATCTGTAGACCTCATTAGCACATCCCGCCCACTGAGCACCAGGCCACCGGGTCCCCTCTAGTCACCGAGGCTGGTGACCAGCGCTCATTATGTAGCACAACTGATATAAATGTCCCATGCATTTGTACATGGTGAAGTATCTCAAACTGGGACCGGTAAGGTAATTATTTTAGAACTTAAACCTACGCATATATATATATATATATATATATATATATATATATATATATATATATATATATATATATATATATATATATATATATATATATATATATATATATATATATATATATATATATATATATATATATATATATATATATATATATATATATATATATATATATATATATATTATAAAATGTGTTTATCTATATATATCTTAATATCTAATCGACCAAGAGACTCTTAAGAAGTTTTGAAAATTCTTCATCAGTCTGTTCTGGGTTTACAAAGGCATCAACACCAATATTGTTGTTCCAGAGTTCTTCGCTGCCTGCTTCTTCATCTTCGGCGCCATTGTCCTCGTCTTCAATACTACCCGCACCACTTCCTTCGTCCTCTAGTTCCAAAACATCTGGTACGTCGATGTTGTTGATTGATATCGAAGCTCTTTTCGATCTCCCCTTCGGAGCCTCCGCGGTGATGTGACTTTCGCGGTTGTTGTTGATGGAGACGCCCGACATTGTTGTCAGGACGAGATCCCGCAAAGTTATCTTTTCTTTGGATTCTTGGTCCGATATTGTTTCTGTTGTGCCCTCGCCAGGAGCTAGTTCAGCCCTAGCATCTTCCAGAATAGAGTGGTTAGTCTGGGCGGCATCTTGTTCCCCAGATGCGTATGCAGATAACCAGGACCCTACCTCCATGTGGCTCAACTTTTCTTCGAGTTGCGATGCTCCAGCCGTTTCCCATTCTTGGAAAGATTTTGTATTACTTTCAGTGCTTTGGCTGTCGTTCCGTTCTGGCTCAGACTCTGTTTCAGTTTCAGATTCTAGTTCTTGTTTTTCTTCAGTGTTCAAGACTGCTGTAGACTGTAACTCGGTGTCTCCTTCTGAATTAGAATTTGCTTCTACTTCTGAATGGGAAACGGTTTTCGTTTCAGGTTCTGACTCTGGTATTGTTTCAAGTTTAGATTCGTTATTTGCTTCAAATACAGAAGCTGGTACTGCATGCTTAGGCTCTGATTCTGGTTCATGTTTATAATCTAGTTCACGCTCATCTTCTGATTCGGGTTCTACTTCAGTATTAATTTCTGGTTTTGTGTGTGATTCGTCCATTAATTTGGTATTACGTTCCGGTTGTCTTTGTGGTTCATAGTCGTCTTTTTGTTCTTCGACAGGTTCAGCCGCTGAGACTTTTTTGGTTTTTGCTTTGTTTTGAGACTTATATTTTGGTTTAGGCTCAAGTTCGATAGTTGCTGTGTTTTTGGGTTCGTCTTCAGATTTCACTGATAATGTTTCATTTCCAGTGTCGGGTTCAACTTCACCTTGAGAGTCTGGTTCAGATTCGGGTTTAACTTTGAATTGAGACTCTGACTCGACTTGAGGCTCAGTCTGTAGTTCGGGTTTAGAAGTTGATTCAAGAATTGCATCATGACCAGACGTTGGGTCTGATACACGTTCAAGCTCTGGGTTTATGTTATCGTCAAGCTCTGATTCAATTTTTGGTGAAGTTAATCCCACTTTTGATTTTGACTGTTTGATTAATTTTGCCTTTCGTCCTCTTTCTAGTTTCCCATTAAGCTCGAAATCTGTTGTTTCAATTTGTTCTTCACTGTCGGACTTCACTGCTGTTGTTAGAGTAGGCTGTTGTTCTAATTTGGACTCCGTTTCCTGCTCTGAAAACTCTCCTCCCGCGCTCTCCAGTTTCTTGTGGCCGTTGTAGTCAAAATTCTCTACGATGATTTCCGCCTCATGTTCAACACGCGAGTGATCGTCGAGATGAAAATCATCTTCAGTTTCGGTATTATGTGCCACGTCGATGGTCTCCTGTTTTCCCAGACCGTCAGGTTGATCCTCCACAGGACCATCCACGTCTGACCCTGGATCAGCACCCACTTTATGGTCTGATCCATGACCTGCTTTCTCAAGTTCGACATCAGTCTGCGTCGTGACACCCTCTGAATTTTCTTCTGAAACATCGACGTGTGATTTATCCTCAAAAATAACTTCTGGTTCCATTGTTGATGCGTGATCAACATTGGGTTCGTGTTCTGCAGAAGATCCGTGGTCTACAGACTCGTGATCAACATTAGGTTCGTGTTCCTCAGAAGATTCGTGGTCTACAGAATCGTGATTAACATTAGGCTCGTGTTCTGCAGATCCGTGGTCTACAGAATCGTGATCAACATTAGATTTGTGTTCGATAGAAGATTCGTGATCAATATTAGATTGGTGCTCAGCAGGAGATTCGTGAACTTCAGACGACTCGTGATCAACATTAGATTCATGATCGACAGAAAAGTCGCGATTGTCAGGATTATCATCTACGCTTTCATTATCCATTTTATTGCTTTCCTCTAATGTATTTCCAGCTATTATATCTTCTTCGTCTAAATCTATGTGTTTTTCTTTCCTCACTTCCTGAAAATCATCGTCCAGTGACGTGTCTTCCTCGACCACTGCCAGAGACGTGTCGTCCTCGACCACTTCCAGCGACGTGTGGTCCTCGACCACTTCCAGAGACGTGTCGTCCTCGATTGCTCCCAGAGACGTGTCCTCTTCGTTTTCTCTTTCACTAGAATTTGGGCTTTTACCTTTTTCCTCAGACGGTACAGTGTTGTGAATGGTTTGTTTAGTAGAGTGTGAATGTAACGCTTTACCACTCTTTTCATGATCTTGTGGAGGACTTTCACTGTGTAAATCACTGTGGCTTTCGTCGCCATCGTTACTTGAGTGATTATTTTCCTCCAAATGAGTTTCATGCAAAGTGTTACCATGCGAATCATCATGATTTGACACATCATTTGCATCACCTTGCATCCCATGATCTTCAAGCGATTCCTTACATTTGCAAGGTTTCTGGTCAGCTTCGTGGACATGCTCGGCAGCGGTGGCAGAGGCATTGCTGTTCTCCACCTCTGACAAATCAGACTCAGCACCGTCGTCCTCTTCCTGGGATCCGTTTGGGAGGCTTTCTAATATGGTGCTAGTGACATGGTTTTCCTCTTCATCCGTTATATCCTCTATGGTATCGTTACATTTATTCTCTGCCTCGAAAATATCGTGTAAGTAAATACTGTCCAGATCCCCTTCAACTATGTCGTCTCCTCGGCCATTCCGATATTTAGATTTGACTTTTACCTCAACGAGTTCGCTGTCGCTAGTGACTTGATCATCCTGCTCTTCTGACGAGGCTTCGCCTCCCGCCTGTTTTTCTGGACCGTCATCAGCTTCGTTCTCAACCTTGGCTTCAGTTTCTGTTTCAGATTCGTCCACTTGCGTGGTTTCAGTATCGTCTTTTGGATTTGACTCAGGAATTGGTTCATGTGTTGAGTACGATTCGGTTTCGACAATGGCGTCTCTTTCAGTTTGTAATTCTCCCTCAGATTCTGAATGATTTTCGAGTCCAGGTTCTGTATAAGAATGGGCTTCAGATGTTTCTTCTGGTACTGCTTCAATTTCTGAATGGAAGGCGTCAGGTAGTATTTCAGGATCTGAATGGTTGGTTTCAGATAGTTCTTCGAGTTCTGAGTGATTGGTTTCAAGTAGTGCTTTAGGTTCTGAATGGTTGGTTTCATGAAGTGATTCATGCTCCGAATGGCTGATTTCAGGCTCAGAATGGTTGGCTTCAGGTTGTGTTTCATGTTCTGAATGGCTGGCCTCACGTTCTGAATGGTTGACTTTACGTAATACTTCACGTTCTGAAGAGCTGGCTTCAGGTAGTGCTTCAATGTCTGAATGTCTAGCTTCAGAAAGTCTGTCATGGTCTTCGGGAAGTGCTTCAAGCTTTAGATGGCTGGCTTCAGGTAGAGCTTCAGATTCTGAATGGCTGGCTTCAGGAGGTGATTCAAGTTCTGTATGGCTGGTTTCATGTGGTGCTCCGGGTTCCGAAAGATTGGTTTCAGGAAGTTTTTCAGATTCTAAATAAGGATTAAGTTCAGATAATTCTTCAAGCTCTGAATGAGGCTTGACTTCAAGTTCTATCTTAGGTTCGGATTCAAGTACTTCGTGTGTATGAGCTTGTGGTTCTATGTGATATTCAGCACCAGATGCTGCTAGAACATTGGCGTTACGTTCGTCAAGTTCAACCTCAAGTTCTGCCTCGGGATTAGTTTCAGGCTTAATGTCGGGTCCATTTTCCGGATCTAAATCAGATGAGACTCCAGATTCATTATGGGATTCAGTTTCGTGGTCAGCTTCCAGTTCTGGGTAGGACTGAACTTGCAGTTCTGCATGAAGTTCTGCTTCAGAGTCTGCATGAAGTTCTGCTTCAGAGTCTGCATGAAGTTCTGCTTCAGAGTCTGCATGAAGTTCTGCTTCAGGGTCTGCATGACGTTCTTCATGTTCAGTATGAAGTTCTGCTTCATGTTCTGAATTAAGTTCTGCTTCATGTTCTGCATGAAGTTCTGCTTTATGTTCTGTATGAAGTTCTGCTTCATGTTCTGAATTAAGTTCTGCTTCATGTTCTGTATGAAGTTCTGCTTCAGGTTCTGAATTAAGTTCTGCTTCATGTTCTGTATGAAGTTCTGTTTCATGTTCTGCATGAAGTTCTGCTTCATGTTCTGTTTCATGTTCTGCATGAAGTTCTGCTTCATGTTCTGTATGAAGTTCTGCTTCATGTTCTGTATGAAGTTCTGCTTCATGTTCTGTATGAAGTTCTGCTTCATGTTCTGCATGAAGTTCTGCTTCATGTTCTACATGAAGTTCTGCTTCATGTTCAGTATGAAGTTCTGTTTCATGTTCTGCTTCATGTTCTGGATGAAGTTCTGCTTCAGGTTCTACATGAAGTTCTGCTTCAGGTTCAGTATGAAGTTCTGCTTCATGTTCTACATGAAGTTCTGCTTCATGTTCAGTATGAAGTTCTGTTTCCTGTTCTGCTTCATGTTCTGGATGAAGTTCTGCTTCAGGTTCTACATTAAGTTCTGCTTCATGTTCTGTATGAAGTTCTGCTTCATGTTCAGTATGAAGTTCTGCTTCATGTTCAGTATGAAGTTCTGCTTCAGGTTCTATATTAAATTCTGCTTCATGTTCTGCATGACCCTCTGCCTCATGTTCTGCATGACCCTCTGCTTCATGTTCTGCATGACCCTCTGCCTCATGTTCTGCATGACCCTCTGCTTCATGTTCTGCATGACCCTCTGCCTCATGTTCTGCATGACCCTCTGCCTCATGTTCTGCATGACCCTCTGCCTCATGTTCTGCGTGAAGTTCTGCTTCATGTTCTGCATGACCCTCTACCTCATGTTCTGCATGACCCTCTGCCTCATGTTCTGCATGACCCTCTGCCTCATGTTCTGCATGACCCTCTGCCTCATGTTCTGCATGACCCTCTGCATCATGTTCTGCGTGAAGTTCTGCTTCATGTTCTGCATGACCCTCTGCCTCATGTTCTGCATGACCCTCTGCCTCATGTTCTGCATGACCCTCTGCATCATGTTCTGCGTGAAGTTCTGCTTCATGTTCTACATGACCCTCTGCCTCATGTTCTGCGTGAAGTTCTGCTTCATGTTCTGCGTGAAGTTCTGCTTCATGTTCTACATGACCCTCTGCCTCATGTTCTGCGTGAAGTTCTGCTTCATGTTCTACATGACCCTCTGCCTCATGTTCTGCGTGAAGTTCTGCTTCATGTTCTGCGTGAAGTTCTGCTTCATGTTCTACATGACCATCTGCCTCATGTTCTGCGTGAAGTTCTGCTTCATGTTCTGCGTGATATTCACCTCCAGGTACTGCATCAGTTTCAATTCCAGATTGATCTTCACGTTTTGGATTAGATTCAGCTTTATTCGTTAATCTCATTTCATCCTTTGACTCGTTAGCCACTTTGTAATCCGACCTGAATTTTCTACCAGTCTCTTCGTTGCGAATACTCTTCGCTGTCCTTTCTTCAGCCTCGGAACTTTCATTATCTTCTTTAGTTTCATTTTGATCAAATGGTTCTTCGTCAGCTTCTAACAGATCTTCGTGGTTCGATTCTTCGTGTTGCGATTCTTCATGTTGCGATTCTTCGTGTTGGGATTCTTTGTGTTGCGATTCTTCGTGTTCGGATTCTTTGTGTTGCGATTCTTCGTATTGGGATTCTTTGTGTTGCGATTCTTCGTGTTGGGATTCTTTGTGTTGGGATTCTTCGTGTTGGGATTCTTCGTGTTGGGATTCTTCGTGTTGGGATTCTTCATGTTGGGATTCTTCGTGTTGGGATTCTTCATGTTGGGATTCTTCGTGTTGGGAATCTTCGTGTTGTGATTCTTCGTGTTGGGATTCTTCGTGTTGCGATTCTTTGTGTTGCGATTCTTCGTGTTGTGATTCTTTGTGTTGCGAATCTTCGTGTTGCGGTTCTTGGTGCTGTAGTTCTTCCTCGGCATGAAGAACTTTCGTTTTTATTTCTCCCGCAACTTCCAGGTTTGCCTCAGATTGGAATTCAGACTCAAGTTTCGTGTCATACTGAGATTCCACCCTTAGTTCAGATTTTGCATCATTCCCTTTCTTCCTTTTCTCCTTAGATCCTACTCCACTACCACTCAAGAATGGCTTCAGATCGGCGAATGGTTCTTGATCAGTATCTCCCTCAACGTTCCTTACCACTGAGACCTTGGAAGTGGGTCTACCTTCACTCTTCAGCGTCTCAAGTTCGTCTTCAGATGCATGTTTCATTTGAGCTTCGTTAGTTTTAACACCAGATTGGTCTTCACTCTTTGTCTGAGGATCGTCTTGTTGCTGGGTGCCATCTTTAGTCGTGACGTGATTCAAGACTGGAGATTTGTCCTCTGCAGGAGGGTCCTCTTGGGCGGGAGAGCCTTCTTGAGGTGAGGGCTCTACCTCGGTGTCGTCAACCGCTGCTGAAGAAGCGTCGTCTGCACCCTCGACAGGAGACTTGTCCGCCACTGCATCCTGTGAAAATGGAATGTAAATTAAGTTTTACAAGAATTCGTTATTACGAATCATTCTCTGAATTGAGAATTTTAGTCATATATATTTGTATTTTTATGTACAATGGAATTAAAGAGAGAGACCAGGGATGATTGATCTTATGCTGCTATAACATGAGACGGACATTAAGAAGAGCGTGTATACAGACTGCTCAGTCAGGACTTACACCACCAGGAGATACTTCAAGTAGGATCGTAGAGGAGGATTCTGTTACAAGCTGTGATTCTGGTGAGAAATGCGGCTCTTCTGTGGCATTTGATTCTAGTGTGGTCCATGATTCTGAGTTGACCTGGGGCTGTGGGTTGAGTGGAGGTTCTAGGGCTGACTGTGTGGTGTGTTGTGTGGCGAGGTGCTCGGAGGAGAGAGAGGTGGTGGGCGGGTAACTGTCAGTGACCTGCCTCTTCGCCTGGGACGAGTCGCTGGGTTGACAGCCTGTGACATCTTTTGGGTCGTGTTCTGCCTCTGATCTCCGCGGCGGACGTCCCAACACCACCACACACACCGCTGCCAACACCGCCTGCAAAGAAAGTGTTTCATTAAAATTTGTATTTAAAACAAAACATTTGGGTGTAATTATATTGCGCAGTAATATTCTGAAACACTAAATTTAGCTCAACATTGATGATATTAATATGTTTCGTAATCGGTGCTAAGCGCTTTATCTTAATAATTAATTACATATTTGGTTTATAGTCATTACCCACAGGAACCAAGATTAATGCAATTTGCATCGAAGGAATTTTAAGGTCGTCTCTTTAGGATAGTAATTCTTAGCGAGACCAAATTTCCAGACCAGGGTGTCAACATCTTTCTATTTTTATCGTATTTTTACCAACAAATTAAAACATTCTACACATTCAGGACTAATATATACTTGATGGTTGGGCAGCACGCTACTCTTACGGGCTCACCATAGCCCGTGCTACATGGACACTTCGTTTTGAGTAGCTAAATCTGATACAACAACAACAGAACGCTACTGTGGTGGCCGTGATAATCATTCCAAAGGTTGATAGTCCTTAAGACCAACACCAAATCCAAACAGGCGACAGGTTGCCATGAGAGGGAGGAAGGGGGGAGGGGGAGGGGGGAAGGAGAGGGGGAAGCGTCAAGAATGCTCATGGAATTCCTTCCTCACCCTCCCCCCCCCCCCACTTCAGCTGGACAGTAGAGCGACGGTTTCGCTTCATGCAGGGGTCGGCGTTCAATCCCCGACCGTCCAAGTGGTTGGGCATCATTCCTTCCTGCCCGTTCCATCCCAAAATCCTTATCCTGACCCCTTCCCAGTGCTATATAGTGGTCATGGCTTGGCGCTTTCCCCCCTGATAGTTCCCTTCCCTTCACAAACATTCCACCCCCCCCCCTCCCCTCCCCAACACTCTGCCTCGGCTTAGCTTTTTCAAATCATTAATCCCACAGCCCACAACCTCGGAAAAGCTATAAGCTTCACTATAGGCAAAGCTCGCAGGCGCGTGAACACATTAACAATGATATAAATGATTGTCCCTAGTCTAGATGGCGCCACCAGAGAGTAACTCGTCGCAACGAATAGCCTAAAATGTTATCTTTATGTTTATAACCTAAAATGTTATCTTTATGTTTATAACCTAAAATGTTATCTTTATGTTTATAACCTAAAATGTTATCTTTATGTTTATAACCTAAAACGTTATCTTTGTATTTATAACCTAAAATGTTATCTTTATGTTTATAACCTAAAATGTTATCTTTATGTTTATAACCTAAAATGTTATCTTTATGTTTATAACCTAAAATGTTATTTTTATGTTTTTGTACAAGACTTTCTCCGATAACATTATTTTCTCCCTCGGAATAGCAATTTTTTTTCTAACTTTCTTTCGGGAATTTTATTTTTGTATCAAATATAAAATTGTGTATCAAATCAAATAAACTTGTCTCAGCGATTGAGATGTTTTCTCTCTCTCAAGTCGTTAACTTTATTTCAAGTTACAATTACCATAATTAAATTACATATTTTTTTAATTTATCTATTTATTAAATTATTTGTTTGCGTCTTTATTTACCATTGTAATTATGGTATTTTTTTACTGTTATTACATAAGTGGCTTTTGAGAGTTACCAGGAACCAGTAGCATCGATATGCTACAACACCACACACCTGCTACCACACATAACACACCTGAACGTCACACGCCTGCACGCTACACACATCTGCACACTACACACAACACACCTGCACGCCACACATCACACACCTGCACTCCATACACAACACGCCTGAACGCCACACACCTGCGCTCCACAAAAGTGTGTATTCACCAAATTTTGCTTGCGGGGGTTGAGCTTTGGCTCTTTGGTCCCGCCTCTCAACCGTCAATCAACTGGTGTACAGATTCCTGAGCCTACTGGGCTCTATCATATCTACACTTGAAACTGTGTATGGAGTCAGCCTCCACCACATCACTGCCTAATGTCTGCGCGGAAGGGAACGAAAGGTGTGGCGCATGGGGACTGTGGCCCCCTTGATGGGTTAAGGGAAGGTGTGGCGCATGGGGACTGTGGCCCCTTGATGGGTTAAGGGAAGGTGTGGCGCATGGGAACTGTGGCCTCTTGATGGGTTGAGGGAAGGTGTGGCGCATGGGGACTGTGGCCCCTTGATGGGTTAAGGGAAGGTGTGGCGCATGGGAACTGTGGCCTCTTGATGAGTTAAGGGAAGGTGTGGCGTATGGGGACTGTGGCCCCTTGATGGGTTAAGGGAAGGTGTGGCGCATGGGAACTGTGGCCTCTTGATGGGTTGAGGGAAGGTGTGGCGCATGGGGACTGTGGCCTCCTTGATGGGTTGAGGGAAGGTGTGGCGCATGGGAACTGTGGCCTCTTGATGAGTTGAGGGAAGGTGTGGCGCATGGAGACTGTGGCCTCCTTGATGGGGTGAGGGAAGGTGTGGCGCATGGGGACTGTGGCCCCCTTGATGAGTTACGGGAAGGTGTGGCGCATGGATGGAGGGGGGGGGGGTTGTGCCATGTTTTAGTGCCGTAATATTAGGGGGTCGATGCGGGCCAGCGCGCACCCAGCACGGGCCTCCCATGGCCCTCTCACCCACAGTCACGTGAGAGCGGTGGCACTATTCCCACCTGAGAAAGCATGAATGAAAAATAAAATTGATAAAGATATCCATCGCGAAAAGGGAATTTTAATGTCAGATCATTAAGTATACTGTTGGGATAAACATGCTGGTTTTTGTATATATTTAAATAATTGTATATTTTGGGGGGTATAGTGAAGATCTCTTAAGCGAAAACACGTAGAAAACGGGCTTGTGAAGATATGATGTTTGCTCAACAAGGGAGCCGGTCGGCCGAGCGGACAGCACGCTGGACTTGTGATCCTTTGGTCCCGGGTTCGATCCCAGGCGCTGGCGAGAAACAATGGGCAGAGTTTCTTTCACCCTATGCCCCTGTTACCTAGCAGTAAAACAGGTACCTGGGTGTTAGTCAGCTGTCACGGGCTGCTTCCTGGGGGTGGAGGCCTGGTCGAGGACCGGGCCGCGAGGACACTAAAAAGCCCCGAAATCATCTCAAAATAACCTCAAGAAGATACTTTGTACAATTCGAGGCCAATTTTTCTAAATATTTGTTTACGATCAGTTTAATATTGAAACTATCAGAATGATGTGCAGTAAAATTAAATGGTGTATTACCTTCGAGCGAGTATAGCTCGTCAAGCTTGAAGCTTCCTGTTTTATTAATCTAGGACGACAGGAACATCGTAAATATACTACAAATACTGAGACCTCATTTCAATAAGTTTAACGATTCATTGAAAATCTATGGCCACCATCTGTAGGTCTCATCAATTATGATTTTTTTTCTGGTTGAGAAATTTTGAAAGAGATGTCAAAGATTGCGGAGGCATGAAAAGAAAGCTGAATGATCAGTAAAATTGACAATAGTACCTGAAGTTAGGCTTCACACTGCGATAATTATAAAGCAATAAATTAGTCGGGTCTGCGTCTGATGTTCTAATAACCATCACGTCAAGCTTTCAGGTTCATTAATTGAGAATAAATTGGATCCAGTATTATCAGGCAGTAATTACCGTTCGTTGTTTAGCAACGAAGAACAGTTTTGGTCCCATGTTATTTGGATCAACAAAATTACGAATGTGAATTAAGTAGAGACAAGCAAGTTCCCAAGTCAAATATGCTACAGTGTACAAGATACATTTTAATAAATATATCATTAAATTTACAATTTGCTAGACTACTATATTTACACGCCAAGATTAACACGTCTATTAAAATATTTTGAATTACATTCTGTAGGGTACGTATTACTATGTTTTCAATATCCATGTCTTCCTTCAAGTTCAAGTTCAAGTATGTTTATTGAGATAAGCAATAAATACATCTCAAAGGGATAGAGTAGATTAGGCTATTTCTACCCCCCCCTATTTCTTTCTTCATCTTTATTTGATGTTCCCGCACTAATAACACTCTAGTGATGTTTCGTTCACATATCTGGATATCTTTAGGTTATCAACACACAACATACAACACCCATACAACATACAATCAATCACACTACTAATAAAGGAGAGTGATTTCATCGCGGAAAAACCCCTCGGGGAAAAGAAGACAATAATTCGGAGCACTTTCGTATATTAAGACCATACAAGACAACATACAGGAAAACAATAGAGCCAAGGAGGGCAAGGTAGAGTGTCCACAGGCTATGAAAGGGGCTGGGCTTCACCTCCAAGCTCATGTCAGGTCACTATATAAACACACACGGCTACATATGTTAAAATTTACCCCTGTATGTAAAAAAAAATATGTAAACCAAAAGCTGATTTGAATTAGAAGGAAGCTGTTGGTGGGGTATGAGTTTTCTGGAGTTTCCAATTCACCGTTTGCAGCTGAAGGAATGGTGTTCCATTGCTCAACGAAAAAAACTTTATGACCTGAGATAGTAGAACATGAGAGCATCGTACATATCAAAATGTCACATTTATAAATACATTAGCAGATCAAACGACAGTATTAACAAAAGAGCCTGCAAGATATTCATTCCACTTATTGTCAACTTCAATAAACTTGGGGATGTGTCCCAATGGAGTTTCTTAAGTGTTAAGGTTTGATCTCTTCCATTGGCAGCATCACTTTATTGATATAATGGACTATTAGCAGTTCCCACACAGAAATATCTTACCAATCATGTAGCCTATGTGTCTAACTGCATCCGGTGAGTCAAGACACATTGAAATTTCAATGTACTTAGCCGCTTGACTCATTGGATGCAGTTACGATTTTAAGTAACATTGATTGGTAAATTAGTAATCATTTATAAGGATTCTGAGTCATTTGAGAGCTTCATCTTCTCCTTGATGATCAGACGCTTGAGCGAACCGTAGGAAACTTTGAATGAATATGAAGACATAGCTGTGGCCTGAAAGGCTGGGAATGAAGAACTGATACCCAGCCACTAGGGTAATCGGGGATCGAACGCAGACCTTGAAAGAAGCAGAACGAGAGAGAGA